TTGATAATACTTCCTCATTAATGGATCCAATTTTCTATTGCTTGATTTCTTTTTATTAAAAAAAAAATAGCATTTTAGATTTTTGTTTAAGTTTTTTTTGCTAGATTTACCTAAATTTCCTAAATTTTTTTCATTCATAGTTATAATTTCATAATTTTTTTAAAGTCCGTCTTAATTTATTGGAATGATGTGTTGCTTTGAGTAAAATCAAGCTTATCAAGCTTATCATAGATTTATTTTATAAATCATGGAAAAAAAATGAATGCATCCTCTAAAATGAAATACAGATGGTATTGGGGACTTATTTCTATGCCCAAAAAGCCTCGGTGCCTGAACGAACCGATCCTAGAAGTGGAGCCAGCTGAACTAAAAATAGTGAACGTGATCAGATAAAAAATCTTAATTTATTTTCAAAAAATGTTTTATTTATTAGCTTAAATTATCAAAACCAAATAGTCCGATGAACAAATTAACTAAAACGGAGTATCTCGTTCGATTATCGAATTTCTTTTGCAAAAAGTTTCCACTCACCATTGATGGTTAGGCCCACTTCAATGGTTATTAGTAGAGGATAAGAGAATCTCGCCAGTTTGACTTGGAAATAGGACTACACGACGAGTCTGATTTATTCAATGACAAGTTTGTTGTCGCCAGGAGAATTGGTTTGCTCAATATAAGCAACGACCACTTTATTCTCTCTCCTCTCGAAGCAGATTGCAACATCGTTAAAATGTCTTTTATTTTTTTATTAGTTTTGTCATGTAGTACCAGTTTCCAGATGAAACTGAAGGGGGTAAAAGATGTGATTCGAGTGGAATTAAGTGAAATCTTTTTCCTTTCTACTTTCGGCATAAAAATTCTTTTCATTCAACCTGCTTTAATGAAGAACTTGATTTCAACTTTTATTTGAATCATACAATAGATTTGAAGATTTTAAAAATTTTCTATCAAATTTGATTCATAAAATTTTAATATTTATATTATTAAAAACAAATTTCTTAAATGATTATTTAATTAATAAAAAACTTTTTTTATTTTTTATTGAATTTTAAAATTTAAACAAATAATTAAAATTAAAATTTATTAAATTTTTTTTTCAACTTTTTTTTCATTTTTATCGATGGTTAATTATATTTTTTTGCTAAATGATGATAAATTTATAAATTTCCAAATTTATAAGTCTAAAAAATCAAAAAACCAAATCCATTATTTTATTAATTTTCAAAAATAATTTTTGTTCAAATTATTATATTATATTATCAAATATATCATATTATCAACAATTATTATATTAAATATAATAAATATAATAAAATAAAGATTGTAATACATTTTATCTTCAGTCTTATCATTCGCTATGTATAATAATTATTAATATAAAATATAAAATAAATGATGAAATCAATAAATGAAAAATTTTCACGAAGTTTTTACGGTAATATTTGTTTTACGCATCTGTATATTGGATTCCATCTTACTGATTGATACATTTCCACTTTTATGGCTTTTATTTATTTCAAAAATAATTTTTTATAATAATAATATTGTGTAATTTATGTGAATAGTTGGCTAAAAATAATAAAAAAGAATTTATTTTAGCAAAAAAAACTAATTAATTAAGAATGGAAGAGGAATGAAATTAAGGTGTTGGCAGGAATGGAACCTGTAGGTGAAATTATAATATTGGCGGGAATGGAACTTGTAAGTGAAATTGTAATATTAGCTGGAATGGAACCTGTAGGTAAAATTATAACATTGGCGGAATGGAATAAGCGAAATTATGAAATTGGCAGGAACAGAATCTGCAGTTTATAGATTGATTTATAGTAGTTAGCCTTATTTACATCAGAAAATATTCTAATAGTTACTGACACTATTACAGGTTAAATTTAATTAGTTCCATTGGCTACAAAGATTGAAACGTATACTGAAACCTCTTGTACTATATGCGGTGGTTACGATCTTTTCATTGATTTTAAAGCATTAACACATTTCACTCGAATTTGATCAAATAAAATTTTCCCCATTTTATTTGTATTCATTCACTGTTTGATTGATAAGGATAAGGCGTAATCATTGCGTAAAATGTTAATATTAAATTGATGAAAAATCGTTTTGCATTATTTCTACAATGAATTTGTCGCAATACTTGCTAATATTGTTGATTAATTTTTCACTCAATTAAACATTATTATTATTTGTTATTATTATTGTTTTATCAATTGCAATTGTTAATAATTATTTTCTTCAATGTAATTTATTTATTTATTTTTTTTAATGTTAGTAATATTATTTGATTTTGGTGCGTCGGTGATTTAGTGAAAAAAAGGCACTGAGAATCGAGAATGGCTCACACCCGCACCACGTCTCGCTAAACGCCAAAAGCAACGGAGGATGCTCCGATACTGGGCTTTCTACACTCGGCTTGGTCTTTCGTTCAGAAATCCACGCGACCCTAAGCTGATCTCGCCAAATGAAATTTACCGTCTGATTCGATAAGCCAGCGAAACGAGCCTAACCAGCAATGACGAGTGGTTTTTGAAAAAAACACTGTTATTATTTTGCTTTATTTATTTTCAGTGGCAAGTGAACTGCGTCGAAGGTGTTTTTTCTAACTAACTTCCCATTTCAATGTCATCTTTTATCATCGCTAATTTTTTCTGCAAAAATCTTAAATTTACTTCTTAATTTACTCTATTTTTTGTTGCGATTTGTTAATAATTTGTCATTTTTTGATTGCCGAATTTCACTTATAAATTTATCTTTTGTAAATGTTTTTTTCGGAAATGTCCGATCGTTTTTTGCCATTTTTTTACTATTATTTTGATTAAAAATCGTCTTTTTTTAATTTCTAAAAATTTCGTTTTATTTATTTTTATTTTTAATTTATTTAAATAAATGAAACTTTTTTAAATTTTACGCAGTTATTTAGGAGAAATCGAAAATAATTGATTTGAATCGATAGCTTCAGTAGTCATTTAAAAAATTTTCACCTTTGATGTTCATTATTTTCCATTATTTTTTCCTTTCATAAGACATATTTATTGTATATTTAAATATTTACAAAATAAACTTAAAACTATACATATTGTTTGATCTGAAATTATTTTATATAAAATCTATAAATATCCAAAACAAAAATCATTTTTTAATATTTCAAATCAAAAATCTACAAATAATTTTTTCATTTTTAGAGATATTCGTATAATTTTATTTATCGAAATTCAAATATCGAAATAAATTTAATTTGATTTAAATTTTAAGTTTAAATTTTAAATAAATAATTAATTATTTTAAATAAATAAAAAATAAATAATTAAATAAATAATAAAATAATAATAAATAAATTTTATTAATAAATATATAAATAAATTTTATTAAATAAATTTTTTACATGCTTTTTTTATTTTTTAAATATATATTTGTTGCTTTGTTTAGTGTTTCAACAAAAAAGTTTGCTAAAATTTTTTTTTGAAGATGCTTAGACTCGATGTATTGGCACGTCGCACTAGAAAACTGTGCCAAAGGGAGTCTCATGGAGCGATAAAAGCACAAGCCGCCGGCATCAGCGGGATTTTGAGCAGGTTTGAGCACTCCTGCGGGGAATCGAACCTTAGCATCGGCGCTCCGAATTGAGCAACAATCCACTGAACCACTCCACTCTCCTTTGTTTCTCTCCAATAGGCCACAGTGCCACCCGACGAAGAGTGGCGCGTCGGCAGATTCGAGCTCAAGCCTCGATCCTCGGGGACAATTATCTTGCCACTGAGCCGCCGACGTTTTCATTTATAAATTTTATGAATAAAAAAAATTAAGCGAAAATAGCACTTTTCATTTTCCGGATTATTCGGATTATCATTTCTTCTATAAAATAAATCTTATTTTTCTTCCAAATAAAAAATATTGCAATTTTTTAATTTTTTAATTTCATTATTTATTGATCGCTTTTTTTGGGCGATCAAAATTCATATAGCTGATAATGTCTTTTTTTTTTTAAATAATTAGCTGAAGTAATAAATATTTGTAAAATCTCATGAATAATTTTTTGATTTATTATTGAATATATAATTAGTCAGGCTTTTCGGGTTATACTGGCTTGTGCTCATCTCCTCCAGTCTCCTATAGGCGAGGGACTCCTATAGGCGACCTGGCTGGCGCGATAAGCCGACAGAGCGAGTGTCTAGCCAGTAATTTAATGGTGGCAGCTCTTGAAAAGCAAAATTACCCAAGTTTGCGGTAACTCTTCACCTTAATCGAGGTTTTATGGTCGAAATTATATTTCGAAATGACCCCAAGTCTCGATTTTTTTTTGCCTCGACTTTTCACTCGTTCAAAATTCCTCTTGAAAAATAGGAGAAAGCACCTCGAGCTGCAGCCGCAGCTGCAGCTGCACGTTATTGCAGTTCAAATTGTTGTTTTCTTAAGCTTTCTTTTCTTGTGGGGGGGGGGGGGGGGGAAAAACGGGTCATTTTTTTGCTTCTCATTACAATTGAATATTTTTTTTCAGTTAAAATTAAAATTAATTAAGTTAAAATTAATTGAAATTGATTTTCATATTTTTCAAAACTAAAAACGCTATTTTACCGAAATTTTTTCGAAAAACTCAAAATTTTACGCGTAAAACAACGCTATTTTAGCGATTTTTTAAATTTGTATAAATCGTGGATTGGAAAAAAAATTTACAAAAATCTCGTCGATGCATTTTACTTATTTTTTTCGTATTTCAATGAATTTTTTTTTTTAGAAAATGTGTACTTTGATTTTTTCACTGAACAAACTATTGAAAAATTACACTTTTTCCACTTATATAAAATAAAACGATTTTTGCTGACAAACGCACTTATTTTAATTGTAATTGTCGTTTAGTAAAAATTTCTATAAATTTAAATATATATTTATTATTTATTAAAAACTATCTTATCAGTATTTTTTATCAAAATCATCACTATCATAAAATTTATCATGAATTTTGAAAAAAAAATTTTGTTTTTTTTATAGGAATGGATTGTTTCGCGGACGATCGAGACGCTTTAAATGATTTTGCAAAATATTTCAATAATTCACATTTAAGCGATGTCTCTCTTCTTGTTGGTGATGAAATGTCGGTTTTTCGAATCGAATTTTAGCTAAATTTCTTTTAATTCATTTTTTTAAGATTCTATGATTTTATCACTGATCGCTGATAAGACTAGTATCACTAATAAAACATTGAAATGTCGAAATAAATAATTTTTTGATTTTGGAAAATGATTAGTCAGTTGAAACGGAATTAAATTCCCAATCTTGATTTTCTCAGTTTTATCATTTTTTTGGTGTAAAATAGACAAATCTTTTTGTTGGGAAATGAAATTTGAAAGGTTGGATTTTTTTTATACTTTTAGAAAATTTTTAAATCGATCTTATAATATTTACAATTAAGTTTTATATTAAATAACAAATTTATCATGAAAATGAAAAAAAGATTTTCTATAAACTAATAAATTTTTATAAAAAAATGAAATGATGAAAATAATGATAAGATAATCGTATAAAATCGTATCATCACTTCGACTAGCTTCGATTATAGATTCGTTTCTTTTCTCTTAAAACGGGTGAATCTTTTCATTAAAAGCGAAACTGTGGTACTTCTTTCGTCAAATATTTCATTCTTAATAATCAATCGGATATGGTAGGCAAATATTAAAAATGATGATGAATAAATTGGTGATGAATGTATAATAAAGTTATTTATTTAAGGAATATAAGCATTTCTATAAGTATTATTCTGGTTTAGTTTACTGCAATGAAAACCTTATAAAATGTTACGAAATGGTTCTTTATTCTCGTTATTGCCAAAAAGTGATCATAAGATGAGGCGTTGATCTGATAGGACCTTATTCTAGTACCACAAAACGTTTGTCTGGTAGGATGAAGTGTCTCTAAGTTTCAGGCCAGTATAGATATTTTATTTAGAAGCAGTTCTATTGTAGAATAAAATCAAGTGCATAGTGTTGCTGAAATTCTTTCTGGGTGAATTCTCGATTTTTTTTAAATATTATTTACTCAGTGGTGTTTAAAAATTTATTTTAGATATGCGGCTCATCGAATAATTTTAACAAAAAGTAGTGAAGTTTTTGAACGAATGTTAAGTCAAAAATGGAACGGCGAAAAAAAAGTTCGTAATTTATATCAATTTATGACAAAAGTTCATTGCTCACCATATTTTTTCGCTGTGAATGAGATGAAAGAATAAAAGCCAAAGTTATAAATCAAAATCGTATGAATGCGCATTGATGAAAGCAAATTTTAAAAAGTGCACTTTTTCCAGAAATTAGAACTAGTCGATGTTCTTTTTCCGGAAGTCGGAACCAGTCGATGTTTATTTTTCTTTTTTTCAGGAATTGGAACTAGTCGAAGAGCCTCAATGTCAAAAAGTATTTTCAGCATTTCTTCGGTTCTTATACTGTAATCATATCTTACTTCATCCTGATAATGCTCTGCCAATACTTGTTCTTGCTGATAAATATAATGTTAATAACTTAAGAAAGGTATATATATTGCAAGATTTCGTATTATGTAAGTAAACTTATTTTCATAGAACTGTAGGATATTATTTCTCGTTTAATTTACTTCTGGGATTGCTATGGCAAAATTTTTTTGCCATAGAACTATTCAGATTTTAGATTTGGCCAGGCGAATCATTAGGGTTATAGTTTCAATTATTTTAACTCAATTTGCTACTGTAAAAGTGGATGGATAAACAATTTCAGTTAATTCAATTGATCTTTCCTAAAATTCAATATTTTCTGATACATATTCTCAAAAGAAATGAGAACCTTGCAGAAGCATGGCAAAAATGAGAATTGTGCATTCTTTCAGGTTTGCATAGAATACGCTGTACAGAATATTTTGCCTGAATTATCACTTCGAGAATTATTTCATGTTTGGTTTTCGTATGCAACGAAAGCATATCATCAGGTAAATTATTTTTTATATAGTTATCTCTTTCTTTTTTTTGCTTGAATATATATTGGGCACTCAATGATTGCACCACCGAAACTTTTAAATTTCAAATATATTTAAATAATTTTGTAGTTGCTAATAAATTCATGCATAAAAATTCTTGCGTGGCATTTCGAAGAAATGATTACGAGTGAAGAATGGGAAAAAGAATGGTTATCAGTTGATCGTGATCAACTTACTGAATTGCTCAAATCGAATGATCTTGTTCTATCAAGTAACTAATTCCTTTAAATCGTCTAATATGTCAGGAACTTCTCGTTCTTTTAACAGTTCTCACAATTACTGATTAGGCTGGCACCGCTGGCTTTATTTCCAAGCTACAAGATCTGATGCCATCATCATATCGGGAACTGCAAAAGAAAAAGAATTGAAACTCAGAATTTTACTGATTTTTTTCTTGTGCAATGATTTTTATCACTATGTCTTAGTAGCTTATTATCTTATCATTTCGATGTTTATAGACGAATTTCGTTTATGGGAAGCAGTACAAAAATGGTTGATGGCACCTTCTCATCCAGAACGACGTGGGAATACTGCTTCTCCTCTCTTAGTTTCAATATTGCCACTCATCAGGTTTAAATCGCTCACATTTATAAAAAATTTTATTATTTATTTAATATATTTTTTAAACAAAAGAAATGATATTTTTTAAATTTCTTTTTATTTAACTAAGTCTTTTGGTAAATTTTTTAACCTCCGCTAAAAACGCGACCAGATGTCTAAATAAATTCGCCTATTATATTGTTTCTTTGTTTAAAACATACCATTTATGGTTTAATTAGCTTAAAACATGAAATCTTCGTCAGAGACTTGGCTACAGTTGCACCAATTATAGTTTTAATGATAGATCTCGTCGCATAATATAAATCCGATTCATATTGTTTGATTTCATGCCCTGTAGTCAGTCGTCACTGGAATAGTTCTTTACGAGATAGTAAGTAACTCGTATAAAAGAGTCGCATCTCTTTGGTAACTCTCGGAGTCAGACTATGTTATATTTTTAAATTATTTCAAGTCAAAAAGTTGTGGGGCAGTTGGCGCATTTCAAACTGGAATATCAAAGCGCTCGAAAGATTTTAACATCAATGTATAACATTTCTAGGATGGCCGATGATTCTAATTGAAGCCTTTTCTTTCTCTTCTAACAGCTCTCACCATTATTGGTTAAGCCGGCTCCGCTGGCTACATGGGTAAGACGTCTCCAAGCTGCTCGGTCCTATGCCATCGCTAGTAGTAATATAAGCCATTCCTTTTTCCATCGTCTAAATCCATATATCGCTGGTCCCCCTATACATTCAAAATTTTTTCTAACTGTATTAATCCAGGTCTTAACTGGCCTTCTCCGCTTTTGACGCCACCATCACAGGGTCAAATAACAAAATATTGAATATCCTTGCCTTTATCTGTTAAATCCATTTTAGAATTCATATCGTTCTGTCAGTACTCAAAAAGAAGACAAGCTTATATGTTGAATGAAATGGTCTGACTGTTGGGCCGTGCTGCCAGACCGTACGCTTATCAACAGATATAGTTACTACTGGCAAACTCGTGATAAAACACTACACCAATACTTAAAGGGTACTGTAGTTTGCCAGATGACCAGTGGAATTGAAGTAAAGATAAAAATCCAATTGAAACTATCTCCTTCGTTGTTCCCCACTTGCAAAGATTTTATATGAGGTACCATATGACTGAGGCGAGGCAAATTTCAGTTCTCAAAGAAGTTGGATATAAGGTCGCATTATCTAGAAATAGGTTATATTTATTTGTTATATTTCTGTCAAAATTTCTCCTTTCTTTCTCCTAAATATATTCTTAGAAGTATCAGACAGCAGGATGTATCCGCAATTTGCTTAACGCGCTTTTGATTCGTCCTATACGGCAGTGCTGTGATATGTCATATAACATGGTGGTGTCCCAGAAAAGATAAACTTAGAGCATTTTTATCGGCATATATCAGTACAGATATATATATATATATATATATGTATACTATATATATATATAATCTTCGAAATGCGAATCAGTATGCGCTAGAGTTGTATCCTTTCCCTCATAGTTATGCGCTCTATTAAAGAGGTATCGGAATTTTAAATGTATCGGAACCACTTTCATATGTTTCTAGTGGCTAGGGAAAAGATGTAATTGCAATTCGAAGTATTTTATTGCGTCTGGCGCACTCTCTTTGGAATCACTACAAAATCAACTCCACAACTCCACAAGTTCGCATCTATTTAGCACGATATACGCACGATCCTATTATAAGGACTGCGGAACAATGCCAATGAGAATAGAAAATTAAGAAAAATGTTCGCTAGGAATTTGATGTTTCATCCACCTGAATACCATCCGTAACAATTTTATTAAAAAGCATGAATTGTTAAGCCATTTTCTCTATCATTCATTATAAGAAGTACATCTCGCTACTTGCTAAACCCTGTGATGGATGACATTAAAAAACGTGTAGATTAAGATCTGGTAAAGTAAATGCCTAAAATAGCCGAATGATATATGAGCTAAGGCGATGAAAAAAGACTTCAGTTGGCTTCACTTTATATAAACTCTAGTCTCCACTATAACCAGTGAAGCCATCAATGTTATGGGTTATTGGAAGAAGGCTTCATAACCAGATTAATTTCTGATGAATCGCTTCGTAATAATAATTTCTTAATAGTTTCTTATGGTTTTGCTATTCGTGACAAAAAGACGCTTTTTATAATTTCATGCTTAGGAGTAGCATCATCGAACTAGAAATGTGGTTCCAACTCTTCTCGTAGTAGAAATTTGTCACCAAAAAATTGGCTAATGTTAGAAATCCACCTGCCTTTATTTCTAATTGATTTTCTAACGAAAGTCCCTCATTTTACTAATAAGTTTAATCGTAACGAATTTAACCAGAAAAAACTCCTAGCCACTTCCTAATTAATTCTATCATTAAAAAAACATATCTGATTCGAATTCCTTGCTATTAAGATTTCCATTCATGACGGCCGATGAATTGACTCAAGTGGAACGATCACCTTTTGTTGAATCGCATCCAAAATTATTTCATCCTCAAATTCTCTTGGCATATAAATTTCAAGCTTTACCACTGGCTAGTCGCGCCAATTGCAAGTAAGCGTTTATGAATTTGCTTATCACTATTTAATTATCACTATTTAATTACTAACAAAGTCTGATTTATTGATTTTATTGGTTTCTGATTAATAATATGTATTACTGATTATCTATTTCTTATTGTTCTCTGTTAGTCATTTCTTCGTTTTCAGAGAATTCAGTGGTACTCAATTTATTCTAAGAAATTATACGGATGTGAGGTGGGATCGTCGCATTACAATTCATAGCGAGGATTTACGCTTGGATTGTGCGTATGATAGATGCATCGATCAAACTTTTAATGTATTCGCATTTTATATAACTTTTTTGTCTTTTATTAAATTAGTATTAAATTAGTAAAAAAATGAATGATCTCTTGAACAGAGTTTTTAATCGACAATAAAGCGACAGTAAACGATAGAACACAAAAAATTTTGCGTTGAGTTTGGATATAGTTAAATCATCAGTATGGATGAGATTTTTAGATAACGACTCGTTCCTCAACATTTCCGCTTCAAGCTTGGAATTGGAAATTAAAACTAACGAGTCAAATGGTGTCCAATAGTCATGACGAACTTCGTATGTATCTCGTATCAGATGATATTGATCAACCCCGTTCTATCGAATATCTTGTATCAATTGTCGATGATAGAAAAGTTATACGGTCTTTGGCTGGAAAGAAGAATTTCACAAAGACTAGGTACATCCCTTAATTTACTAAATACTTTAATTTTTCCAAACTGCATACCACAATCGCATCTTTTGCTAATTATAAGGATGAAGCGTTTCCAAATTTGTCTGCCTCTGTTAGAAACCACTTCTTTTTTCTCTACCTAAGGTTTATCCTAGTTCTCCTGACTATATTAGTCTTCTTCTTAAATAGGCCTTCACTGTCCATTACAATGCGTTGTCTCTATCAATTTCTGATGGGCACTGAAAAGCAGTTTAATCAGCCTAGGTGATCATGATGGTAAAGGTTATTCAAGCGAAGATTGATGTGGACGGTCATATGATATTAATGGGAACTTAAAGTATAGCTAAGACCGAAAAAGTCAAAGGGAATAGAATTCTTGATATAAACTGGATAAGTTCTTCCACTCTCATTACCTATTTTAAAATAGGGTTGTGTGTTTTCGTGCTATAATGTTTTTTGGCGATTCCATAGGAGATCCAATAGAGAAAAGTAGCCACACCTATCTTAAATGGAACTTTATCTATAGTTCCAAAAATCAGTCAGTGTATTCATGACTTGATATGGCTAGGCTGGTTTTTGGTATATTAAATATACATATTTTTAACTGTTTAAAAGACTATTAGAGCACGGTGGTTGCATTCAATGTGGTCAAATAGAAAGTTCAAAATTTTAATTGAAATCTGAATTCTCTATCCATCTGTAAATAACTATGTAGCAAAAATCAAAGTTCTGCAGTCAGTGGATTCAGCCAAAACAGAAGTTGTGCATATTGTTGGAAAAAGAAAGAATTGTATTATATACATATATATATTTATACTAATTTTTTGCTCAAAATAACCGATTTGAATTTGGGAAAATTGTTAAAAGCGTAAATTAAGTAAATTGGAACTTTGAAGATAGAAGAGATCCGTAATAGGCATATTCTTAAGGGAGATTTGGGACGATAATGGATGAGTTTTGACAAAATTAGACAGATTTTGGAGATTTTACCGGACATATATACGTACACAATAATATAACATTCTACTTTAGCGTAGCACTTTTTTCATAACCCTTTATATTCCCTTAACATATCTTCGAAACCTTATAATTCTATATCAGTACCCTTATCAGTACTGTTCCTTCTACGCCATCCATAATTATGTCGCTTACCTGGCACTGCGACTATGGCACAAATTAAGTTTGGTGGAACAAGTAATAAAAGTGGAATTGGCGGCATTTAACTGGGCCTGGAGGGTTAAAATAGTAGAAAGGGGTATGAAAGGGGTTTAAAATGTTGTTGAAATTGTCTAACAGATTAAGACACGAGCGGGATTGTATAGAATATTAAAGGAACAAAGTGACAAATTTTGGTAAGGAAGCCATTTGGCGATAAAAACACAAGTGAGTCGCTAGCATTCTGAATTTTTGAAGGACAGATTTACTATATCTATATCTATTGTTGGATTCATCATCAGTATTTTAAATTGAAACATTAAACAAACCATTCCATCTTCTTTTGCTTTCGCCGGACTGATATGGTGAAGTGTGGTGAATCGACTGGATTCAAACATGAGCCATTCTCAATTCTAGGTGGCAATAACATTGTCATCAAATTATCGGTGCACCAAAGTATTGTCATCAGGCTATATTTTTTCAAGCGCTCTACTTGATATAGAAAGAGTAGAAAGTGGAGTGAATCTATTGGTGAATTTGGAAAAATTTAGCCGACACTGGAAGAACGAGTTTTTTCCACAAATAGATAAATTATTTTTCTTCTTCTAATAGCTGTCATCACTGGTTGGGCTGGCTCCACTGCCTGCAAGGGCTTCGTGATCTGATGCTATCGCTTACAATAATAGAAACCACTCCTTTTTCTTCCGTATAAGTCCATGTATCGCTCAAAATCTTTTCTGACTATATCAGCCAAGTTCTTGATTGGCCCTCCTCGCTTTTGACACCATCCCTCACAAGGTTTAGTAAGTAACGAAATACGTGTCAGTTCTTGTGGTGAGAGGCGAAGAATGTGCCCTAACCAGCGAAGTCGATGTTTTATGATGGTATTGTTAATTATTATTGGTTGCTATTTCAAGTGGTATTTAAACGGAGCTGATGCGATCATGTGAGGTTTTATTTACTTGGCGAACCTGTTAAATTAACTTTGACATGAGTGGTCAAAGGCAGATGACTTTAATATCCTCCATTCTCATCAGTCATAACTCGCAGCTATATAGCACGATTAATTGCTGCAGTAAGATTTTTTCTTAAGCCTATCGGTGCTATAAGTATCCCTAGAATTCTCTCATGCAAGTTTGCAAATGAAAATCGTATGACGCAAAAAAAAAGAAGGAAAGTATGGTCCAGGCTGACCTTTCTACTATATTCTTTTCCTTATATAATTTAAATAATTTTAGATACAGCGCAGATATTGAAATCGAGAAAAAAATTGACCTAAACGAAATTTATACTGAAAAATCGCCTTTACTCGTTAACGGCGATTTACACCTTCAAATTACTCTACGACCTATCGACTAAAATACTTCGATTTTATTGTTTAATTTATTACGAATAACTAAATGTTTCTTCAATTATTTCTTTAGACTGTATAGATTTAATATGGTTCATGTTGCTAATCTTTAAGCTCTTTCAAATTATTTTTCCAAATTATCGGATTCAAATTATTACTTACCATTTCTGATTTGGCTATTTCCACTGATTATTAGGTGAATTAGGTTTTTTTTTGTCCAGAAGATCGTTAAAAATGGAAAGAACCCCAAGCTATTCGTACTCTACTTTTAGTAATAGACTTATTGCCGATCAGAAATGGAACCTATGATGCTTGAAGCAATGCATCGCTCGACTCGATTATCCTGCCTCCACTCTATTACCACTGCACATATTAATTCATTGTATCATTTCATCATTAAAGTATTTAGTAAATTCTAAATTGTTTTGTATTTAGCAAAATTAATAGCATTATGTGGAATGGCAACGTTCTGACCTTATATGCAACAGAAATGACTCACCGTAAGTAAATTTTAGTCATAACGAACAGTGAACCAAACCAGAATTGACCTAATTAACCTTGGCTCTAATGTCCTTTTATATTATCGCTATAATCTCAGACATTGTTCATATATTACTGTTAATATAGTATAATATTAGTAGGTATGTGTTGTTACTAATAGTCCATTAATATTAATATAAGACCTTTTCTAGTAATATTAAGTGATACTATCGGTGCAGTATAGTACCATCAAATTTTTTTTTTAATCAAACAGCTCACCATTCCTGGGTTACTCTTGCTCTACTGCCTTATCAGAATGGACAAATTTCTGAAGCTCATTTGGAGATAGAAATACAAGTGGGATCGCCAGCATCTGGTTTTGGTTTACTTCTACCGGGAATCGAATCCCAGCATAGATGCTCCAACCCGCCGAACCTTTCTAATAAATATTCAGTTTTGTGATAACGTAGAGAGTGATTGTGATATGATAAAATCTATCGAAATTCAATTAAGTTGTATAATTGCGCACGGAATTCACATCCGGATTTTTAGGTGTCATTTTTATGTATTGCATACTGGTTGTTACACCGCAGAAAAATTAAAAAAGTGGTCTTAAAACGATTGTATGCGGACTGACACAGCTCTCAAGTTTGTATATGAGCTGATTGTTAGTAATTTGTACGGATATGTAGTGTACGTGCTAATGTCTCATGCGTGGCGTGTGTGAGTCAGTTATTATTGGAGGAAGTAGGGAGGGGGTTGCTTGGTTCCACCGTGGTTTTTTAAATATTATGAAGAGTTTGGTGAGTGATTAATTGGGCTTACTAACTTCATTATAATTTCAGAATTTTCTTTGCATTTTAATTTTTTTTCGAAATATTTTTATGCATAAAAAATTTGATTTGTTAATTTTAAGATTTTTCATAATTTTATGAATAAATTATTTGATTTATCAGAAATTGTTAGAAACATTATTGGATGAATTGTTTAAGCATAGCACACATCATTTCTACTTTGCGTGGCTCATTTAACTGTTAGGGTAGCTTTTAGAGTGAATAGCTGAGAAGGCTTCACGTAGTTAGAGGAAAGAATTTTTTATCTGGCACAATAGATGAATTTTATGTTTTGAATGTTACGTTGCGTCGACTACGGGTAAGCAGAAAAATTGATTTCTCGTTGTTAAATGAAGTGAACCAATTGTCGAAAGTGATATATTATTAGCGAACCGTGACCAGTTAACTTTCTGGCTGCAGGCCTATTCAAACTCTTTACCAAGTGGCCAGTGGCTAACCAAACCAGAAATGGTGGAGAAAAGCGAAGAAATAATAAATCATTTCCATTAATTTTATACTTGCACTATAGCAGATCAAGCGATTTTTACTTCTTAACATTTCGCTTTATTTATTTGACTTCTCATTCTATCGTCATTGCAGTCTTGTTCATTTTTTTAAATGTTATCTGGCTTTAGATTCACAATTTAACCTCCTAATCAATTAGTTATGGCTGCAACAGCAGCACCAATAATCATGGTATCTTCTGGTTCAGTAGGTACATCTTCACAACTTTCCGGCATCTCACAACCATCAGTTCAAGTACTTTTTCTTTTTTATTTTTATTTTGTATTGTATTTTATTTCCTTATAAATTTTTTAAACAATCTGTAGGTGGTTTTTCATGTGAATCAGTAGAATCAGTAACTGCTTATTTTTAGAGAATTGGAAAAAATGTATGGGACGATTTTAGGTTGAGCTATAGGCTTCTGTTATAAAAAATAGGAAGTTTAGATTGCCTCTGAATACTTAGTCAAGGACATAGTTTTCTAAAATGCTATAATTATTTTTTGGCCAATAGTAAGAATTTATTTTTATTGTAATAAATAGAAGAATTTATATTTATGATATATTAGAGTATATTATCAAAATAAAGTTTTAAAATTGACTCAAATTATAGTTCACCAGTAAATCAGCCTAATAATCAGTGAAGTTAATCAAAATAGCAATTGCTTTCTGTTAGTGTTAGATAAATTTATAATTAAATTATAATTATATTAAATTCTTACAGATTTTTCATACTTATTGTTTCTTTCTTATTCTCTACACTATAATCTTTTTAGGCTAACGCAGCAGCAAACTTACAGGCCTTAGCAAATCAGCAGTTTCAACCTTACTATCTTCGACCAGCATATAGGTTTAAAACAAATAATGTAGGTTTATTAATTTATTATTATTTATTTATTGATTTTATTTATTTACTGTCATTTATACATTTATTTACATCTAAATATCGATCTAAATATCAAAATTGGAGGCGTATCTTACGTTTCGAAAATTTATTCCAAAAAAATATCGAAAGATTTTTATTGGGTATCTTCCGATAAAATTTCAAAAAATAAGTTATAATTTTAATATTGTTACTGGATAATTTGATAAAATCAAGAATATTTTTAATATTATCAAGCTCATTTTTATTTTTTGCGTTGGCAGGGAGATCCAAAAATTTAATTTTCCACGCTTACTGTTTAATCAATAAATTCAACAGTAAAGATTTATTTATTGATAAAAATTAAAAAATTTTTTTAATCGAAGTTCAGTATATTAAAAATGTTGAATTTAGCAACCTATAATTGATGCTTCAATTGCGGATGGACCAGGCCGTAGGTTACGTCGGAATGTCGCTAATGTTCGTCGTCATATAGATTATATTGCGAATGTCTTGCGGCACTGTGAAGTGAATCTTTCATTCTTTCATAATTTGTGAATTTATTGACTGAATTATCGGGAAATGCGAGGAAATTTTTAATATTTTTAAATTTTAGGCACGATTATGGCAATATGGTACTCGTGATCGAATTGCAATTCAGCCTGATATACTTTACCAAAATTATGTGCTTCCACCTTCGTCCACCTTAGATAAGCCAGTTGACTGTGTACTTACAAAGTTTGTTCGTGCTGCAATGAATAAAGTGAAATGTCCGATTTATAGTATTTGTGTAAGTTATATTTTGTCTTGATTTATTGATTAATTATTTAGTGGCATCATATAATTCATCATATAATGGGGAAATTTGATTTTATATTTCAAGAATGAATTCATTTTTTTCCTGATTGATTTCATTATAAAATTATTAGATATAAGATTTTATTCACTAAGAGTTGCTATTGTTTGTTTTTAATTGATTAATTGTTCTCACTATATGGATTCTTCGTTGGTATTCTGGCTCGTAGTTGGCTTTCTTATAAGTTTTATTTTTTGTCAGGTAAAATTGGCCGATTAGTTTAGATTTAAGATTGCTATTTGGATATCAGCATATAAAAATCACTATTTATGTTTAACTTGGTTTTTTTTCTTTTGTTTTATAATATTTTATTTGTTAGTATTTCAGTGGACACCAGAAGGCAAACGGTTGATAACGGGTGCATCAACTGGTGAATTCACGTTATGGAATGGTACTGCGTTCAACTTCGAAACAATTCTTCAGGTATTTGCGCCTCTAATTTGTCAACTTTTCGTTCGTTCATTCGTTTTATTCGAAATTATTTTTGCTGTTTTTTCAAACAGTTTAATAAAGATAAATGACTAGAGTTTAAAGAAAAGGTATCAAATTTTTTAATGCCGAATTGCTCATCATTTTCAATAAAATAAAGTCAGATTTATTGAATGAAATGGGGCAATGGTTTTTATTATTATAATTACATCGAATAAAATGAAGTAAAAAAAGTATGAATATATGCCATGTAAAAAGATTATCGTCAGTGGTTTGGATTTTCCTATGAAAAAGCCTTTTGTCGTTATTTGCCTTTTATTGTTTATGGATAAGGCAAATAAACGGTTATCATCTTCACTTGTGTATCTTGCATTTCAATTTTTTCATAGTGTCATTATGCGTTCATTTAATAAGAATGATGATATATCTTAAATCAAAATATAGGATGAAATTTTTCTTTCCAAGATAATGATTCTTCACCAGTTCAGATCCATGTAATGTGCATGGGAAATAATTTTTGTAAAGTTAGCACTTATAAATAATTCTACGTTTTGTTTAAAATCATTGATTTTTGATTTTGTCCATATAATTTATGGGTGTCTTGGGCCTATTTGCGTATCTGTGTTTAAACAGCGGTCAAGCAAAAAGGTTCCACTCATTGAAATCAGCCAAACTGGAATCGTTGAAGAATATTTTTGTCTTATCGAGCTTTTCATTGCGGGATTTATGTAATTCTTGCAAGATCAAAATTGTCCTTAAATTATCTGGGAATTATTATAAATTTTTTGCAATGCTCAGTGAAATGAAATGAATGAATCTTTCTGCAGGGAATTTTTTTCTCATTTTCATGCTCTTGGTTAAGAACTTGAATGATTGATTAGATTGATTGGTATGCTTATGTCTTTTATCAAATATTAAATCTGATCTTAAGTTTTAAGCAAAAAAATGAGTCTTAATATTGTCGAATTCAATAAAATCTAAAAATCAACATTGAAATTCGATACGTGCAACTGAAATTTACTACCAGAGTGTTCCGACTGCAATAAACTGTTTTCGTCACCAAACACCTCAAAAACCGTTTGGATCATACGAATACCTAATGCAAAAAGTGGTCGTTGATCCGTTTTATCTCATAGAACGGTATATAGTACACTAATAAGTAATAATTGTGTTGGTTTAGAAAGAAAGACAAAGCACAGTTCCAAAAAATATGAGATCAGAAATACGGGTGATTATAAATCTTTTATCAGCAAAAATTATCTTCTGCTCACGGAATGGTTCCAAAATTGCAATGTTTTAAATCAATAATGAATGGTTTCGACTGTAGAAGAGATTTGAATCACTTTACCCTCTCTATCGTTAGATTAATCTAATTTTACTATCTTATAATATTGAATTAGCTTTTTCTCTGAAGGGAAATCAAAAATGAAATACCTAACGAACTAAAAACGAATTTGACGCATAATTCTGCCATGGTATTTTATTAAACAATAAAAAATATTTGTTTTGACTAAAATTTCCAAATTTTTTCGTTAATATGTTCTTATCATATCTTTTTATCATATTGTAGACAATGCAATTATCTCGATTTTTTTAAGAAATCAGAACTATAAAAGCATCCATTATAGGCGCATGATACAGCAATAAGAGCATTGAAATGGTCACACAATGATCAGTGGCTCGTATCAGCTGATCACGATGGCTTTGTTAAATATTGGCAACCGAATATGAATAATGTTCATATGTATCAAGCACATAAAGATGAGCCGATTCGTTCGATAAGGTTTAAAAAAAATCCAAAATTAATTTTAACGCGATTTTAATCATCCTGGAAGGTAAAGAAGAAGATTTTATAAGGAGAAATTATAATTCAAATATTTTTAAAATAAAATTTTTTGAAAAAAAATATTAAAGAAAAATTTGGATGAAATTTGGGAGAAATAAGATTGCGAATTAACAATTATTATTTCATTCGTCTAATTTTTTTTCTTATTGCTTCGGCTGAGGTCAAACGCGGCTGAGGCGTTCAGTTCTTTGATAAATTCTCAGTCGGCGAATTCGCTCAAATTAAAAATCTTCTAATACTTCTAATAACACTATTTCTGATTTGGCTGGTTTCATTTAGATGATTTAGGATGATTTAGGTTTTCTTATCAGAGAATCGCTTAGGAAAATAATGCAGTTCAAAAGTAAAAATAACCATAGCTGGACATATCTTGGTTGCGCACCATTCGCCTATCCTCTCATTTAGAGCAAAAATGGTATATGCTGTATGCTATTGGAAAAAAAATAAACTATATTAACTAATTTTCATTAGATTTCTTTTAGTTTTGCACCTACTGATATCAAATTAGTGACCGGTTCCGATGATGGAACAGCTCGCATTTGGGATTTTGGAAGATGCGCTGAAGAGAGAGTTTTACGTGGGCATGGATCTGATGTTCGTTGCGTCGATTGGCATCCCCAAAAAGGGCTTATTTGCACTGGATCGAGAGATTCTCAACAGCCCGTTAAATTATGGGATCCAAATACTGGCCAGTGCCTTTCTACTCTGTAATATTTCGATTTTCTTTGAATATCTTGTTTTTGATTGGCATCATTTAAATATATTTTAATTTGTAATTTACAATTATATTATTAATTTATAATTATTTTATTTTTAATGCGAATACTTTTTTAAACGGTTGGAAGGTTCTAATCATTTATTACATGAATTAAATTCAATAGATCGAATTAAAGGCACGACCATAAGAACTCGGTTATGTCAGTGCAGTGGAACAAAAATGGTAATTGGCTTATCACAGGCTCCAAAGATCATCTTATCAAACTTTATGATATTCGAATGATGCGGGAAATGCGATCATATCGAGGGCACAAAAAAGAAGTTACAGGTTTTCTTTTTCAATCACTATCTCATCTTAATAATCGCCGTTAGCTTATCAAATCAAAACTTCGCTACTTTCAAACTTTTTTAGCGTTATTTGTATTATTATATTACGTTATTATTATAATATATATATATATATTTACGTTTATTTTTTGTTTATAAAATTCTAACATGGAAATAGATTGGTGAAAATTCGGAAATGCAGACGATTAATAATAATAAAACTGTTTAATTTTTATTTTAAATTGATAACTTTAAGCATTGGCTTGGCATCCTGTTCATGAGAGTTTGTTCGTTAGTGGCGGTGGTGATGGATCATTGGCTTATTGGTTGGTAAATGCAGAAAAGGAATTGGGATTTCTGGAACACGCCCATGATCAAGCAGTATGGACCTTGGAGTGGCATCCACTTGGACATATACTTGCTTCTGGTTTGCTATCAATATTTGTTTAATCTCAATTTAAAAAAAAGTCATTCTAAAAAAGTCTTTTCACCTGTTTCTTTTTTTTTCTTTTTTTTACGTTTGCTTTATCATATATACTTTTTACTGTTTTTTTTAGGATCAAATGATAATAATACAAAATTTTGGGCTAGAAATCGCCCTGGCGATACTCATGACGATATATTTGGCATGACACCTTTAACAGGTGCGCCGCTAACCATTTTGAACAGTGAAATGAAAACAAACATCGATGATATTTCAAACGTTCCTGTTATACCAGGTAATTTATTACAAACTTTTTAACCTTACATTTATTACAAACTTTTAAACTTTTTATAATTATTATAATTAATGCTGTCTTGACGTCCGTAAAATTTTTCGGTCTTACAGGTATGGGTTTGGATGACGATATTTTTCAAGGATTGCAAAACCGTGAAACAGTTACAGTTGTCGGAGGTCCTAAGGCTGGTGTTGGTTCTGTATCAGGTCCTCTACTTTTCCCTGAAGATCCCAATGCTCGTCAGCAGGTTGTTTTTTATTATCTTCCTTTTGCTGTTGTTAGGAGTAATTTAAAACAATTGTCCTATTTAGGTTTCAGCAAAATCTTCAGAAAAACTTCACTCAAAGATGTTGCAATTGAAACCTAAATTCACTACACATAATGAGAATGCAGAGCCCAATAGGAAAAATCAGATTTTCAAAATGGTTTATCTTAATTATAGTCTGCGAATATCGGAGCAAAACGTACTTTAATTAAACAACCTCCACCGAAGAAAGCACAACGTCAGTTCGAACGTATGTGGAATGTCGCAAAACCAGCTGGAGGAGGTGAAGATTTTGAGGAAGAAATGCCAGAAGAAAGTTCATTTCGAAGACCTAAGGCATCATTATTGGGTCCTCCACCGACTTCGATGCTTGCTGCTGCAAAACAACAGGAGCGTAAGATTCAATTTCCACTCAGCTAACTAAATTTAAAATTTTAAAGAATTGGTTATTGGTCAAATTGCATCTGTTTATATTTAAAAAAAAGAGCAAGAATTCAGTACATTTTCAGCAATTCAACAAATTCAAATTAGAAGATAGAAATGTTATTTTTCAGAACATCGTTCACCTAGTCCCCAGCGTTCTATAAATCTTCATGGGAATGGCACTATCGGTGATCAGAGAAGGCAAGGGAACCATCTCCAATCAGTAGATGCTAAAAATCCAGTTATATCCTCACAATTGAGTTCCACCACTCTAGCACAAAATAATTCTCAAAATATATTACATTCTACTCAACAGTGGTCAACAGGGCCAATGGGGCCAACAGCAACTGTGCAACAAATCAGTTTACAAGAAAATAATGTTTTTAATCCTTCAGTTATTGCTCAACAAGATATACCGAGTAAGATCTAATTCTTAATTCATTATTTAATTTAATTTTATTAAATTCAAATTTTTGGCTATTAATCACTGAGATTATTTTAAAACAATTTTTTTTTGAATCTTCATTTATTTATTTGAAATAAGAATTGAATGTTTAAATTGAATGTTGCTTTAGATTAAATTGGGTTAGCTGGAAACTGATGGTACTACCCACGCCAAAAATATTAGGGGGTTAGAGGTTTTTAGGAGAATTCATTTAAAATATATTAATAGATTCACTTGAAACTAATTATTCTTTGTTTAAAACTTCTCATTTCTCTATTTTTCTTTATGACTTCATCTCTTAGCTTTTAGCGTTATTGCCGCAAACCACCCAAATTATTGCTGGCCAGTTACCTTTGGCATTCCAACAACAATCTATAACAGGACCTTTAATTTGGCCTCCAACGATTGTCCAGTCTAATCAACAGCAAAATTTGGTTTGTTATTCTCGTTTCTTTTAAATCTTTGTCTTAAATGGGCTCATTGGCCCTTTATCAAATTTATATTTTTATTAGTATGTGCAGGACATTGATTATCGGATGGCTCAATCAACGTTAAACGCAACACAGACTGTGCCAACGGCAACTCAGCAAGGTATTATCTCGGGAGACATCGACTTAAGGCACGGACTTACAACCTCTGGGCAATCACAGTCATGGCGTCCAACTCCCTCTACGTCAGTTATGGAATCGACACAATGTGATGATGACATGTTGAGACCATCAGGTGGACAGTTTTTTGCTTTTAAGGCGAATCGGAGCCAATTTAATTTTTAATTTAAATTTTCAGATGAACCGCGCATTCATGATCCACGGATCAGACGAAATAGAGATGGAGATCAACAGAGAATGGCAATAAGGATGACACGATCAGAATTAGATGGCTTTCCAGAAATAGAAGCGACTAAACAAGATATACAACGAGGTAGGGGAAACGAGAACGCGCCAATGCGGGATCCTCGAAGGAGACCACCCTTACAGCCCCCACCTCATTCTCAAGACCTGGTAAGTTGAGATAAATTCTTTTTGCAAATGAATTTCAAAATCCTAAGGTGGCCAATATTTTAAATTGGCATTTTAAATTGAATTTCTAGGACGATTACGAAAGGTCGGACGTTCCTAAACCACTACGCTGTTGGATGCCAAATGATGATGGATCAAATTTTATGGGACCAAACAAAGGAATGGCTGGAGAAGGGATAAGAGGACCACCTGGGTACAATAATAACGATTATGATTACGAAGAATACGACGATTGGTCATCTTCTAGACAGCAACCGTCGTTTCATCCTTATGGCCGTGGAAATCATTTTAGGCGTGGACATGAGAGGGGAAGAGGATGGGGAAGAAGTCGTCGTCCTGGTTATTAATCTCCAAAAATTATCGTTATTAAAGCATCACTGTATTTGAAGTAAGGCTTAAGGTCGAAGGCTAAAAGCTTAAAGATTTACGGTTAAAAATGAGATTGGATGGATTTCTTTTTAAGAACGAATATTCTAAAACTCTGATGACGCAGCGCACTAATACTCCAGATAATTGGATCTCTTTGTCATCCATTTATATTATATTTTTGTACGTACATATAAATATATAAAAATATTTTTACAAGTTTTCAATATTTTATGAGAGGCGACATGAGAGGCAGTTTTCGCTAACTTTTGTGGTCACCCAGAAAATATTTTTGTTGGCATTAAATATACATACATACATATATATATATATAAGATTAATATTCTGATTCCTTCAATTTTTTTGGTGGATCTTTATAATTGGTGCCACGTCGCCGCAAAAATTGTTTTGTATACGGAAATGGTGTATCGAAAAGTGAAGGATCTGTTTCGACGTATTTTTGTTCGATATCATTAATCACTTTTTTGCCATCTTCATGAGCCATTTGCTTTGTTAACATCACTAGACTCTGAAATGTCTTTTTAACTAGTGGATTAAGATTGAGATTTGAGATTTGAGAAGTTTTTTAAATCAAAATTCCCCATTAAAAAGATTGTTCCGGCTAGGGGTAAGTGGTAATTCAATTCCTATCCCTGAAAAAAATAAAAGCGGCTATAAAAAATGAAATCCGAGTGGTTGCTTACCAGATGCTCTTTGTATCTATTCCCACAATGAATCTATGCCAATATTACCTTCCTTTCCAGTGAAATAAGTGGAAAACATGGATTTTAAAAAAATTAAAATCGAATAATCAATGTATTTTTGAAAATGCAAACTTTGAAAGAGCGAGGTTCATAAATTGCTAGCTGGGACAGGACGATGTTATCCAACAAAATATGAGCTTTATTGAGCATATTTCTAAAGTTGGGATAATCAAAATGATGTTCAGCCAATGCAGAATCTAATCGCTCTCGAGCATACTGAAATACATCTGGTAAAAATTAATATGCAATATGCTCCAAATTTTTTAATAAATAAACTCAAATGTTATTTTATGCGTAAAATAATATATAAACCAATAAAGAAAAGAAAAAGATTGATTTGCTAACATGTTTCTCAAGCTTTAGTTTATCCATGCGTTGTATATTCCATGAATGAAATATTTTGTTCAAAGCATTGTAGCCCATTCGAACTGTACTTCTACGAGTCGCATATTGCCACTGTAAATTATAAAACGCTAAAAGGAAATAAAAATGCCGCTTAATTAATCTTAATTAATTATTATCAATCTTGTGAAGGGTTCAATTCGTTTCTGCTGAGAGAAGGCAGATGAAAATTTACCATTTGGGCTGTGGTTTTACCACAAATGATTTTTTCGTGAAAGGAATTAAAGAATTAAATGCCATAATTAGCTTAATCAGCCAAAAACACAAAATAAAAGAAAGGGGATAAAAGAAAGAGAAATAAAATAAATTAATAATATTAATAATATTTTGCAAATTGTTATATGAAGTAATTTAATTGTTTTAATTATTTTATTGTTATTATGTTAATTTAAAACTATTTAAAAAATATATATAAACAATAAAATAATAAAAAGCTTTTCGAATAAAATATAAGCATAGATTCACCGCAACAAATCTGCGTAATTTTTCTCGTTTCTGCCAATTGTCCGGTTTCGGAATCACTTTAAAACAATGATAAGGGCTATCAATAATCCTTCGCAAACAATTTATAATACTAACTCGCATTAATCTGAAATTCATAATAATAAATGAACATTATAATATGGAATTAAAATTAATAAGGTAAATTTTTAATGAATTAATAAAGCATAAAATTAAACAACAGCAAAACAATGAACGAGTAATTTGTTTCGCGCAATTACTAGTAAATACGAATAATTGAACCCACAACGGTTTGGAATTGCTCAGTTGATTAATGCACTTCTTTAGGACTTATGATATTTAGATGTTGAAATTCCGTTCTCGGCAGCAATACACCTGCCTGCTGGCGATTCACTCGCACTTCCACTGATTCCCTAGCAAAATCTGACTCCGAGTCAATAAACCCAGTAGAATCCCAGCCAGAAATAATGAACGCTTTCCATATTTCTTAGCAAAAAGGAGATTATACGGAAGAAATTATCGGAAAGAATCGCAAACTACCAAAACCTCCAACTTGACTTAAGGTACCAACATACTTCACAACCCAACCATTAAACAACCAATATTTAAACGTACAATTATACTAATTTGCAGCCTCGTATAAATAAATTCGAACACTAAATCTCAGCTTTAGAGGACATGGTGCAATTGCTGCGATTTATCCACCCTAATCTCTCCTTGCACAAGCGGAGAACATTTACAAAATTATGGAAGTAAATATAAATATAGCAAAAAGAATTTGAACAATTCGTTAGAATAAATAAGAAATGGAAGATTTTGCTTTTTATTCTTGCAAGAATATGAATTTACACGAAAATTTTGCATTCATTAGGTTACGCAAAGAAACGCGATCGAAGCAATAAATAGAATTACACGCACGTGTATTCGGTAATTTATCGATGGATAGAAAAGTTCAGTCACTCAACTGCAAGCGCCGAGGATCGATTCCTCGCAGGAGTAAACCTGTATAAGAGTCCGGGTGATGCCGGCGACTCGCCCGCCCGCACCTCTATCGCCAAGGGACTCGCTGGCATATTGCCCAATGCGGCGAGCCAGTAGAGCGAGTTTAACCAGTAATGGTGTGGACTCTTGAAAAGAAAAATTTATCTGTAAATTCGACGAAATTTGTTAATTATCAGTAAAATCACCAGCAAAAGGAAGAGATAAAAAAAACAGCCATTCTTCAGTTGATATTGGGTAATCACTCATTTATCGATCGACTTTGTTGGCTTTTTATAACTATCTCACTTTATGGGGGCCACTTCTATGGTACTTATTTCATCAGACTACTTGTTTCATCAGATCAGACTTTTAAGAGTTCTCACCATTACTGGTTAAACTCGCTCCACTTGCTTATTGCATTGGGCAATATGCCAGGGAGTCCCTTAGCGAACGAAATACAGATGAGTCGCCAGCATCACTCGGATTTTTGGACTGGTTCACTCCTGCGAGGAATAGAACCTTAGCGTCAGCGCTCCGAATAGAGCAATAATCCACGATGGCTTGGGCTGGACTGCCTGGCGTATTTGTCCAGCGCGACAAGTCAGCGGAGCGAGCTAAACTCTTAAAAAAACAATGTTTTTACTAATTTTTATTAAATTCGCGAGTTTGTACCGCTGAAACTTAAAAATAGAAAATAGATAATAGATAAAATCCCCCAAATTCGCTTCTAATAATTTTATTTTAATTTGAAAAATTAAATTTATTAATAAAATTATTAACAATGAGCTGGAAAAAAAAATTTGAATTTTACTGATAAGAATCATAAATTACACCAACATCAAGGAAAAATACCTTTTAAAAGACATAATTAAAACTCGCTATGGGTGGTAATGAGAAGCCCAGGCGTTTGCCATTACCGGCATGACAGGTTCTCGGCCTGCCAGGCAAGTCGCCAGCATCACCGGATTTCTGGACAGGTTTACTCCGGTGGGAAATCGAACCTCAACCTTTTAAAAGACATAATTAAAACTCGCTATGGGTGGTAATGGTCATCCTCAACCTCGATTCTTTTGCTACAGGCCTGGGATATCAAAGGCTCGGCAAATCTTAGCTGTTCTAGTTCCTAGTTCCTAGCATCCTGCCGTGCAGAGATCTCTTCTAGTCGTTGAAGCCACTTTCCTAGTTTATGGTTCCTTGTGCTCCCATTATCACTGGGACTTTCGCCTTCATTTTCCACATCTTCTCTAATTTCTCTTCTCATCTTTCAGCTCTCGGTATATTTCTACTTCAAATATTCTTCCTTCTTTTCAACGTTCTTGTCATTTGATATTGCTGTACCTATCACCAGTTTCTGGTTCTTATCCATGATTTCTGACTGATTGGCCAGTACTTGTTTTTCTTTGCGGTATTGGGAGAGTTTAGGCCAAATATTCAGCAGATATTTTTAGAGATAATAGCAGCTATTTTGTTGCCTCTACTGTTTCTGCTTGCATTTTACGTCCATGTGTTAGACTTTTTCTGGAATGTTTTTACATAATTTCTATTTTATGTCTTTTGTGGCTGGTAGATCCCTGCTTTGGTGGATCTTGCGCGTAATACTTGCGCTATGATCAATGCTTCAGAGCTGCCTTTTAGATTTTTCCAACTACTGGTTCTCGCTATCAACCATCTCAGCTATTTGTCGATGGTACATTCCATGGATAATACTTTTACAATAGTGCTTCCTCTACTTGGTCTTTCTCCAGTATCTGTTGATTCTTCAGGCGTTCTTTCAGTAGTTCATCCTTTACTGCCATCTGGATAAAATCCTTCTGGCAAAAACATGGTTAATTCGTCAATCTCAGTCGGAAGAAGCAACCTCAGGAGATATATTAAAATGGGAACTTTATCAGGACGAAAATAACATCTACAGATGCAAAGGTCGCATTTCCAATAATATAATATTCCTTCCTAGAAAGACCAGAGTCACCGAACTTATTATCTTACATCTTCACACAATTCATGATTACTGTGGTACCGCATACGCGCTGGCACTACTACGGCAATAGTATTGGATTTCGAAGAGTAGACAGACTATAAAAAATACAATAAAAAATTGCATGAGCTGCAGGAGATGGATTGCTAAGCCATTTAAACTACCCGATTTGCCCAATTCGCCGGAATTCAGCAACAACGACCCTTTAAATTAGTCGGAATGGTTAGATCCTTTTGGACCTTTTAATGTTCGGAAAGAAACCGCGCTCGTTAAGAGGTGGGCTATCCTTATCACTTGCTCGACAAATCGAGCTACATATTTTAAAAATGGTCTGGAATTTATCAGCATCTACCTTCATCCACATATTTCGCAAGTTCTCGGCCAGATGGGGTCCACCAACGATTGTGTCAGATGATGGCACGAATTTCGAATTAGCTAAAATATTCAGCTCCCAACTGTTATAATGGAGCGTATATTGGAAATTTTTAATACCATATGCATCCTGGCAAGGAGGACTTTATGAAACAAATGATTGGTATAACGAAATTGGTCATGAGAAAAATGGTAGGCGGAAAATTGCTGCATGAAGAAGAATTGAGAATGCTTTTAGTGGAAGTGGAGAACATTGTTAACTTGAGACTATTAACATATGTTACGGAATAACCCTGCGAAATGTGTCTATCCTATTGATTTGATTTGTCCAGGAATGCCAGGAATAAGAAGCCACTCACTATTGAATAAGGGTGAGGATGAAGACTATGGCAGATCGGAAAGTTGTAGTAGAGATGCGCTGCTAAAAAGGTGGAAAGAATTTGAAAATTTACTCCAAAGATTTTGGGAAATGTGGCGACAGGATTATATCAATTGTTCGAAAAGATTAGCCGTCAGCATCGCAATCCCCGTTCAAATGCGAATAGAAACCCTAAAGTAAATGAGGTCGTTCGTGGACAGATTCTCAATTTTAATTTATGTAATTATCTAATCTCAAGGATCTCAAGGAGGATACATATTTTGATAATAAAGGAGAATTTATAAATGAATCAATTCTTAAGAAATTCTTAATAATCGAGATCATTATTATCTCATTAAGCCCCGATGGAAACTGATAGGAATACTTGTTAATAGTAGTGCTTATATGTATAACAGGTTTTGTCAAATGGCAGTGTTGCCCAATGGCGAAAAAAACTGCAAATATGAGCAGGTCATCCGGATCACACTTGCTATTCTCAACAAAAAAATTAATGAAATAAGGGAGAAAACAGTTGGAGAAGGTATTAGAAAATATCCCATAATATTTGTGGAATACCTCATAAGTGAGAGGTACAATGTAGCTTTTATTATGAGAGGATTAAAACCATAAATCTTCCCATCCATCTCAAATTATATATAAGCTCCCAAAAGATCATTTTTGGGCATTTGAAGCTTCTATTAGGAAAAGGAGTGGGGTGCGACGGGCGAACTGGGCATTTATATTTTTATATTTGATTTTTATTTATTATATTATTTCTATAATTGTTTTGCTTTGCTTTCTCCTATATTTGCGTCGTCACTAAAGATTTAATTACTCAAGTTTGAGGGTTCGCAACGAGATAAATAAGAAGAGAACGCTGGCCGCAGAGTTTATAATAGTGTTGAGAAATAAAAATCCCGCTTGGCAAGAAAGCTATTAAATCTATATATCTACATAAAAAAACAGTGGAGCGGATTTCCAAAAGGAATTTTGTAAAGGTATATATTGGAAGAGGAATCGTCGTGCTTCCAACGAAAATTCGTATTACTAGGAGTTTTTTTCTATACATTTCTCAATGCTTCGGGTTTATTCAAGCGGATTTCACTTAAAATTGGTGTGGAAATTTCCATTCACTCATTATGCTGATTTTTCTAGTTTTCATATCATCTGTGTCTTCCTTTGTTCATTTTACTACGCCAGCTGCGTATCTATCTGGTGGCTGATTTATAATCTATATATTATTTATATATATTTTATATACATTATTTTTGATGAATTATTTTAAAAATTAATTTATTCTTAAAATTTTAAAATCAGTATAAATATATGATAAATAAAATGTAAGTTCCTTCATAATTATTTCCATTTATGAAATTATTCTTTATGCTTACAAATACCAAAAAAAATTTTATGATCGTTAATAAATAAATAAATATAATAGATTAATAAATATATAAAATAAATATATATTCAATTTTCAGAATATTTCTCCATTTCTGATGTAATCACAAAGTACCATTTGGATTTCGTGGTCGTTGTGATGCAGTACGAATGAAAGCGTCCATTTGATTGTAAAGCTGATAAATTTTTTAAAATAAAAAATTCATAATTATATATTTGTTACAAAATAAATTACAAAAATATGTAACAGATGGATTTGTTTTGCTTTATTTGACGAATTCTTTGTAACTTTAGATAAATGTAAAAAAAATTAAAATAGAAAATCTTACCGCATCGTATTTATTCTTAACACATTGATCAACGACAAGTGTATATCCATTGTTGCATATACACATCCAGCAAGACATGTTGAAAAGATTGTAGCAACGAATCATGAGTTCTGCATTTGAGCCACAAAATAATGAAGCGCCCACAGCGTTTAGAAGAACACCAACTACCTAAGAAATAATCAGTGATAACATTTGATCAATGATAAACGATTTCATAATTAATCTTACTTTTTGGTAAGAATTTTTAAAAAAATTGTATAAAAACTAACAGCAAAAAATGCAAACATAATAATAGAAGAAATGATGAAAAGTAAGATTTTTTGCGCGCTTATGTAGAGAAATAGCAAATGCGATTATGTTAATAATTAATAAATTTTAATTGTGATAATTTTTGGTACCATTGATAACAGTCAGAATCAAAGAACAATAAATTTCGGAGATTAATGAAAATGAGCAGAAATCGAAGTTTATTGAAAGTTTATTGTGAAATTATTCCATGAAGAAGAATAATCATATTCGCTTATTTTATTGTTAATAAATTATCAAAAAATAATCACTGAATTTTCACGACTCTTAATTAAATTCACGTGAACGCGAAATTCGATTTTTAAATTTCGTATAATTTGGATTAAAAAAATTTTTCGTTTAGGCAAAATTTATTGAAATTATTTTAGCAACGGAGTTTTTAAAGAGTTCTAAGCGATTGACTACTGTTGTAGTCAGTGAATCCTTTTTTAGGAGACCTCGCCATAAAAAATTGGACTCGATCCACTGCCTTGTCGTGCTGGACAGATATGCCAAGAAGCCCTCCCCCCTTGGCGATAGAAATACAGGTGGGTCGCCAGCATCACACGGATTTTTTGCTGGGTTTACTCCTCTGGGAAATAGAATATCAGCATCGGCGCTCCGAATCAAACAACAATTATATGTTTCCCTAGCTACGCATTAATTAGCCAAAAGATAAACTATAGTTCACTTCAACCTCTCAAAATGATAAACATTAACTATTTATGATATATTAAAATTTAAAAAATAGGATAAAATATTAGCAGAACGAATTTCTGTGATTATGTGTGATTATAAAGAGAAATAGCAGTTTTCTGATGTAATTGATAAGGAAGAGATTAACATTATGCGAACAATTATGAGTGATAAGTGATAACAACAGTGAGTTTAAAACAAATTTAAACTAAAGGACAACGAATTTTTGAGGTTAATAGTTAGTAAAAGGAGCGATTACTAAAAACGGGGAATATTGCAAATTTTTAGACCGATAACCTGTTTAACGAGGCGATCTTTTGATATTAATTTGTTTACAGTGATAACTCAAATTATTGTTGGTTTAATTATGATGATGATTGATGGTTGATTGATCTGATCTGATATGGTCCGACTGACTGATTAGTCTGATATAATCTGATCAATTAATTGATCGTTTTATTTGAGTGACTTGACTGATTGATTAATAAATAAAAATGAACTGGTTTACCAAATTTCCTATCGAAAAGTGCTAAGAATTTTTTGCTACTAATAAGAAAAATGGTCTTAAATGACTTTCATGATTACGATAATTTTTTATTTTTCATTCAAGATTTTATTTGGCGATTTTTTTTTCATTTTATGATTTGAAATTAAGGAAAATTTTAATTTTAGGCAAATGTAGGGGATATTAGAATTTTTTAAAATAATAAATAATAAATAAATAAATAATTTTTTAAATAAAAATTCCTTCGGAAATCGGAAATTTTTATTAATTTTTATTGATTAATTGCTTTGAGATTTTCAATTATTACTTTGGTTTTTCTCATATTTTAAAAAGTTAAATTATTTTAAAAAATAATAACAAAAATAACGAAATTATTTAAATGATTCGCAAACTGAATTTTTATTTACTAAATTAAATCAATTAATTATAAAACTTAATTTTGAGTTTTATTAATAGCTAATCTCAAAAAAGAAAAAGATGGCTTAGTGGGTTGTTGCTCAATTCGGAGTGGAATTAGTAAGGTTCCATTCCCCGCAGGAGCAAACCTGTCCAAAAATCCGGGTGATGCTGGTGACTCACTTGTATTTCTGTCGCTAAGGAACTCTCTGACATATAAGTCTTTTGTAATGGCAAAAAATAAAAAAATCGAAAAAAAATAACTCAAATTATTGTTGGTAAATTGCAGATGTTATAAATTATACAAATACGTTAGCAAACAGAGAAACCGTTTAATTTTCTGTATTTATTAAATCTTCGATTATTTTTCAATAGTTGCGACTTTTTTCCTGGATTTTATTCCTGTTATGCCTATAAATTTAGATTAATAATTAGTATTTATGCGAATCGCTCTGGAATACGAATACTTGGATTTAAATTGTTTCTGCCTTCTTTTTATTCTAATAGCTCTCATCATTAGTGGTTAGGCTAATTTCGCTGGCTACAGAAGTAAGGCATCTACAAGCTGATCGATCCGACGCCATCGCTGGCAATAATAGAAGCCATCCATTTTTTGGTTCTTTGTATTTTCCTATCTAATATACGTGTCCATTATATCAATTATATCAATTTTTTTTCAAATTCTTTTTTTTCAGCTGTAAAAATAATAAAAGAATATTGGTTTACGAAATTTGAATGAATAATTTGAATTTTCTTCGTGAAAAAATCTCGGAAAATTGGATCGATTATTTTGTTGATCGCGAACGTTTTCGACATTTTCTCGATTCTGCAACTTCAGGTTTTTCAGTTTTATATTTTATATTTTTCTTCAATTATTTTCTCAATTTTCTTATAATGAAACTTTGATTTAATTCTAAATTCTAATTTTTTGGAAACGTCTTTTTCTCGAAAAAATATTTTAGCACAGAATTTAATAATCTCGCAAAATGCTATGTAACCGTTATCGTTTTATCCTTTTTGATAATCTCATCGATAATTTCACATTGCATTGTAGTAGCCTTGTTTTCATGGTAGATCCCAAATACCTTCTGGTTAATGCAGAGATGTAAAGGTTCTCTTGTTAAAACTTGTTGAATTTGCCTGATGCCCTATAAAAGTTTAAATTTAAATATAAAAGTTTAAATTTCATTTAAAACTGGAACTGTGAAAGTTTATTTCTCTGTAATTTTTCTCTAATTTTTTTCTGTAATTTTTAAATGAAATTTGGGAATCCGGCAGTTTTAACACTTTAAGTTTTCGTAGCAATTGGTCTTTAAAAAATATACAGAATATTTCATATTCATATTAAGCGGATACCTATGTGTCTAAATCTCGCAAGGATTTTCTCAGAGTCATTGGTATTCGTTCGGCCTCTTCTTGACTACGGTACTATCCCATGAGATGCCGCAGAATTAAAAAAGATTTAATTTATACTAAAAGATTTAAATTAAATCTTTTCGTACTGTTAATTACTGAAATAAACTATCAAACTACTAAACGTATAGTGCTTCATCCTTAACCATTTTTAAAAAAAGATTAAATAATATCATTTATGATATTATTTAAAAAGTTCATATCATTCATATAAACCATTGTTACAATGAGTAGGTTACCACAAGGACAATGGTCATTATTCTGACTATTATTGTAATAATCAATTAGAATTAAAGGATATCTGATAAGTATTTCCATTCTTATCTGTTTTTGACTTGCCTGAATTTTTATGTTGCATATATTCCTTATTTAACAAAAAAAAACCTTTATATCCATAAGGAATCATAGAATATAGTAATTTGAGCTAAATCTGGTTTCAGATTCGAAAGAGATTGCCCAATTAGTAGGTCAATTCGCCGAACAGGCCCAATTAGTAGAAAAGGAAGCCGAAGTTTTGCAACGAAAAGAATTTGATGAAGGTTGGTGTGAAAGTGTAAAATGTTTCGATTGAATTATTTTATCTTTAACTTTAAATTGAATTGTCTAAATTGATTTTATTTAAATTATGTTTAAATATCTGAAAACAGAATTTATTGTAATAACTGGCAAAATTGCTAAAATTAATATATGGTAATTAAATAACGAAAAAATTTTATGACAACACCTTCTATAATATGATAATATGATAATATAATATTTCGCGAATAATAATATTCTGTCAATAAAAGAAAATTCCTAGTTGTATAAGGGAATTTCTCCCTATAAGTTGTATGTATAAAACTAGAATTTTTAGTTAGCCAAAAAACGTCAAATAGTAGGATATTTCCAAAAATAGTTCAGCAAAAAATATAAGATGCCTTCCATCTGTGAATGGTGTATTTCTTATTCTACTTATACTTATATACTTAGCATTTATACTTTATCTTTCTAAATTTATTTCCTTTGAAAATAGCTTATTTTAATTAGATGAAATTTTTATAGAATAGAACTTATATAATCAAATTTATTTTTTAGATGATTTGTTTTATTGTCGTCAGAAAGCGGCAAAATTGTGGTTATATTCTTTCTCTTGTTTTGCAACCATTGGCTGGGATTTGGAACTACTTAGAAATGAGTGAGTATTAAATTATTTCGTTTTAGGCTATTGTTATACATAATTTTTTTTAGCGATTTCAATTTTCTTCTCAATTTAGATGTAATATTCTCGTGATGAAAGCCATTTTCAATAGACTGGTCTCTTTTTGTATATCCGATCGAAAAATCGTAAGTCTCTTAGTTGGTCAATTTGGTTTTGATGACTTTAACTTGAATTATCTTTAAATTTTACGTTAATCATTGCAACAAAATCTAGTAAGCAACAAAATATTGTTAGGGAATCAATGATGATATCGCTCCTATGCTTTGGGACATCTGGGATACGGAATTGTCGGCACCAGATAAGAATCCTGGTTTTATTTTTATTTCGTGGCTCTATGCTAAATGGATATTAAAAGTGGATACTGAAGGGCGTTTTCCTGAAAAAGTCGCCAAGCCCACTGTCAGCAATCCGTAAGTTTATTTTCATATTAGCATTTTGAACTAAATCACATTTGCTTCTTTTTTATATTTGCTTTGGATTTATTTCATTTAAATTATTTTGAACTTTTGTCTTAATTGCATTTACTAGTTTTATACGTCACGTTTTCTCCTTATTTTATCACTTTCTCCTTTGCAGTTTTTTGTTTTCATTGTATAGTCTTGCTAGAGCTGAGAATTATGCCAAATATCTCTTCTTTATTTTTTTATCTTTTCAGCTCCAACCAATTCGACGCAAATTTGGCATTAGCCGAACAGTTGCGTAATTGTACGGCAGAGGTTCGAAATTTTATTTTTTTCTTATTTTATTTTATTTATTTAATTTTAATTTTTATTTAATTTAATTTATTTAATTTTATTTAATTTTATTTTATTTTGACTCTATGCAAAATAATATTGGAAGTCGAAAGATAAGGTGTTTTTCCCATCATTTCAACTATTTGTCCTATCGAATTTTTATAATTTCTGGAATATATTTATAATTGCTGAAAAAAAGAGAAATGAAATGCTTTAAAAATTTTATTTATATGTTCATTATTTATAACTTATTTATTTTTTTATATTTTAGCTTCGACTGAAATCTTCTGATGCGTTAGCGTTTTCAGAACGACTTCTTCATGTAAATCTGTCGCATGCCTTTTCTGTATTCACTAAAGAATGTTTTTTAAAGGAATTAATGAGGGTAAAAATTTTGTACAAATGTTTTTAAGAATATTTTAAAAATTTAAAAAGAAAGAATAAAAATTTTATTAAACTAACTTTTAATAATTCTTAATAATGATTTCTAATGTTTTTTTTTAAGGTTTACGATCCAATATTAGATAAGGATGAATCTGGAAAACTTCCTTCTTCAATCTTTTTCAGACCAAATACCAATTTCTCTCTATTGAACGTGAGCAACAGTATTTGGAAATTATCTGTTGGTTTCATTTATTTCTCATGCTGTGATCAAATTTTTTAAAAATATTTGCGATATTTAATTGCTGTCGGCTCCAGTATAACGAGGCAGATTTTCCCAGGAGATCCTTTGGCGATGGAATATAAGTGGATCACCTGCATTACCCAAATTTTTGGAGGGGTTCATTCCCACTAAGAATAGAACCCTAGTATTTTCACCTCGAAATGAGAGCAATTATCCATTGGGCTATTCTATTCTCAATTTAATGAAATCTTTTAAGCTTTCTTTTTTTTTACTTTCTTATAATTTATTTAATTTATTTTTATTTTTATTTATTTATATTTTTTATTTTATTTTTATTTTCTATTCAATTTTTCAGACTCGATTTTTTATAATGTGTAATAATTTTGCTGCTGGAAAAACAAATGAATGTCTTAACCAGCTAAAACTGGTTCGTTTTGTTGTTGAAAAAGAATATTTTATATTTTATATCTTTTTATATTTTTTTGCAAGATCTTTGGTGCTATGGTTATAACTCTTTGCTAAGTCACTGAAGTCATTCTTCCTTCTCTATTTCCTAACTATTTGTTTTAGATTCTTGAAAATTTTTCGCCTAATGAAAATTTTCAAATATCAAAGTCTTATATGGCTAAACTTATGTATATTGAACAAGATCAACTCAAAGGATACTGTGATGCATTTGGAATGTCTGAGTCACTAAAATCAACATCTTCAATTGATGAGAATATATATCGTGGTTTGATTAATGATGAGGTAACTTTTTTTTTTCATTACACCATATCTGATTTTATTATTATATTTTTGCTTGTTGTAACTTTGCAGTATCTTAAAATTGTTGACGAAATTTTACTGTTTTAGAGTATTAGTTATCTTACATCAGAACCACTGAAATATACCTTAGTCCGACGCGCTGAATGCTATCAGATTGCTTCAACTTCTTCTGTATCAACCGCATTGGACTTACTGGCTTATAATCTCTGCGAGGAGTTCATTAAAAATATTCCAGCAACGATACTTTCTTTGAAGCTTTTAAAGAATGGTAAAGGAATTCTTCAAATGGCAAAAGTAAGAAATTATATAACTAAAATGAATAATTTTAAAAATTTATTAGTTTCTAAAATTGCAGTTAGTTCGTTCTTAAGAAAGCCATAGATTGTGTTTTTTTTTATTGAAAACTTTTTATTTTGTTTGAATTTCAGTCATTGCTACAAATGTCACAAGACAGCAAACTTGACAACAAAAAACGTTTATTGCTCAAAGAAACGCTTAGCTTTCTGGCCATCACTATACCATTAGTTGATGCCGAAATATCAAAGGTGAAGGAAAAAAAATTTTTTCTTTGATTTTTTATTGCTCTAAATTTTCATGTATTTTTTTATTTGCAGTGCATTAATGATTTTGGTAATCTCCAGTTGAAAAATTTTCGGTCAGTCGTCCCGAAAAATGTGGGTACGGCTCCAAGCATTAGTATGCTTAAAGGTAATATTTTCAATCTTATTTGTCTTGTCTTATTCGACTTGTTTGTCTTATTTGTTATTTTGGTGGAAGCTCTTTTGCTCAACATTATCATAATCGCAAATGGTATTTTTCAGAAGTTTTAAGTGGGGGACCAGATTATTGGCGATTGATTTTAAGTTACGATATAAGCGAATTGAAAGGAACTTTTTCGAAAATGAGCGGAAAATTCAAAGTCCCTATGAGAGTAAGTACAATTTTTTTTCAGATTTTGTTGTTTTTGAATGATTTTATTGCGGTATTTTAAAAGTATATCGAATTTTAGTATCGAGTTAGCAAGATGATTGGAGAAGTTTTGAATGCCCTTTCTGCTCCTACTGCCGACTATATCAATCTTTTATTGGCAAAACTGGAACAGCTATCGATCATTGGAGTAAATTTTAAATTATTATTTTATATTTCTCGTCATATGTTTTGATTTTTAGCAGCATCATAGGAAAAAGAATCATTCCTCTTTTTCGTAAAATTTCAGATTGGAAATTTGGTATTTAGTTTATTATCTGCTTAAGAATTTTATATGGGAGTGGAAGTACAATATATTTCAATATATCTTCGATTTTCGTTATTGTGAATTTATTTTTCTTGTATAGGATGCTCAACAATGGAATTCATTTTGTAATGATTGTGTAAAGGAACTTGGAAATATGGGCAAGAATCCTGAAATACAATTGCGTTTCGCTTACGATGCTGTTCGTGTTCAGGTGGCTTTTTTTTAACCTTTCCAATTTTCATTCAGGAAATATATTTTTTTTAGATGATTTGTTTTTGCATTCATTTAGTTATGCTTTATTGTATAAGTAATTAATTAGACTTGTTTTTCTGAATGACGATCTGAATGCATTCTGTTCAGCTGGATTGTTGGCATTCACGTTTTGCTCAAACTTTTAATGCTCCTCAATTTCTTCGCACGACTCAGGAATTGCAACAAACAGTAAAAGGCTTAATACAAGCCTCACTATCAATGGCTGCAAGTCCAGGGCCTTTGATAGGCAAAATGCTTCTTCAGACTGTTGCATTTTTCATTAATACAACTGAATGGGAATATTTGATAAAATCGCCTTTAAAGTAGTTTTTTTTTTGAATTTTCAAATGTAATTAGAAAGTTTAATATGTAATTGTAATTAGAAAGTTTAATATGTAATTTATTTATATAATTATTATAGGATATCTGATAGTAAGATAGTTGTAAGATTTCAGAATCAAAAGTCCTTTTCTTGATGTAGCAAAAGTTTTGGCAGCTTATATGACTGGTGATAATGCAATCTCGAAGCGAATAGCAGAAGGACCTTGGTGGCAGATTATGCATCCTACTTTCGAAGGAAATATGCAGTAAGCCGGTTTTTTTTACGGTTTTTAACAAATATCTATGAGAATCTGCATATTTTTAACAATATAATGGTTTTATTTTTTGACAATTTTTTTTACTGAAATGGTGAAATGATGAAAGATTTTGAGAAGAGACCCAAATGTTTTTAATTTTTAATTTTCTCTGTGGCCCATAATATTTTAGTATTGCTATTATAAAACGCCATTCTTTTGAGTCATTAATTTTTTTTTCAGAAAACGAAAAATCGATGGGTCTTATGTGCGTGAACCATCGAAGCAGTTGATATCGGGTTCACAATTTATAGAATTGTTACGATTAATAAAAGTACCCATTCTTTTTTCATTAATTTTTATTTGTGGAAGAATATTGTTCCATTGGCATGTTGTTATATCCTACTGGCTAAAAATCTTGCAGTGAATTATTTAGGTTATTTAGGTCATCTGAAGCCATCAAGGGGTTAAAAGTCTGGTAAATTGTCTGGTAAGTCTGGTAATCTGTTAAATAATTTTTTTGTATTGAAGATTTGCTTGAAATATATTATATTTTCAGGAATATCGATCGCTTTCTTTCCTGATAAGTTTCTTAGGAAGATTGTTCAATGTGTCACTGGAGGCAAAAAAAATATCTGATCCAGACTCTGTGATGTTCATCGAGCACAGTGAGTACTGGCAGTCGATTAATGAGTTTGTAAATTTGTTCTTATTTTATATTCTATTTGTTCTTATTTTAATATTTATTTTCTATTAAACTATTAGTGAAAAAATCTTATGGATGGGCAATAAAACGTCTTGTTCCACAAATTTGTGTTGAAAATATTTAACGCAGTAAATTACGATAAATTTCTTTAAAATGTATCTTTGTGTTACTCCTAAAAATAATGAAATTTTTAGGGATCTTTCATTTAGTAAATCTTATATCTCGGATTGCCTGGAAATAGTCTTTGAAAATGCAATGATTATTAATCCAATTAATGCATTTTGGTTGAGATCGTTTGCTGATTTCAGATTCGGTGAAATTTCTTTTATTTTCTTAACTTTTTCATTTTTTGCTTTGTGTTGGGTTTAGAGCTTGTAATCTGCTGCTCTTTCTAAATGTTATAAAACCAGTTTTCAGCGCAAGAAAAGCATGCTGATGCTTTGACATTATATATGGAAGCTTGCCTTGTTTGCAGTGAATCGTTTACTCGTTCATTCCCTGACAATGTTGTTGATGATATAGTAATTCTTTTTACTTTTGTTCATAATTGGTTTTATTTGGACTGGTTCATTAGTAGGCTCCTTGAGAACCATTGTTATCAGCCGAAGATGGTAACTGCTATTAGAAATAGCATAAAGCAAAAAGTCCCATTTGTACGAAGGACCGCATTTATTAACGACTTCTACTGTATTAATGTGATTTGCAGTTATGGCGAAAAATTCAGCAATGCTTACGAAAATTAGGAATGGTAACGCTTGCAGCAGCCGTATCACAATTATTGAGAATGCCTTATGATAATCATTTAACAAATGCAAAAGCATTATTAGACTCACATGGTGATACTTTTGATGCTTGTACTGCATATTTTCCTCTCATCAATGATATTAATCTAATTGAATTCATGAATGGTTCGTTTTTTTTATGATTTTTAATTATTTTAAAGATAATTTAATATTTAAATATTCTTCTCCAATAATTTTTTTTAGATGTCTATGAGAAATTGCGGCTGCATCGAAAAAGTAATCTTTTGGTAAGTTTTTATTATTCTATTTGTTCATCGAAAGTTTATCGGATTTTTTAAGCAAACAAAAGTTTTTTTTTTGCAAAACAGACTAAAAAGGCATTATAAACCTTCCAGTTTCTAATTTTTCTCAAATATTCCATTATATCTGATGAGAAATTTTTTTTTAAATTTTTCTGACACAACTGTTTTGGTTGGAAACTATATGGCTGATTATTGTTATGCATTATTATTATTATTTTTTATTATTATTTGTTATTATTTATTATTTATGCATGATTTTGTAATATATTTGTGATTTTTTGTTTATGTTTTATAAGTCAATTTGTACATATTATTATTATTTATTATTTTTCTTTTATTATTTGTTGATAATAATCGGTCTTTTCAGTTAAATTCATTAGCAGTTCCGGAAATGAATGCACATAACATAACTCATTTAGAACGATTTCGACGTGGTGAACGACTTTTGCTCATTCTTTGCTCTCAAATATTTTGTATATATTTATGATTTTTGATAACGATTTTTATGCACAGTTGCGCTTACAAGGGAATTTTGATGCTTATAAGGGAATTTCGTTGTCAAATTTATTATTTTTTTATTATTTTATTATTTATTATTTTTTATACTCCCGGTAATTTTATTTATTTCATTCATTCATCATTCGTAGTCGTTTTTTCCATAATATTGTTCTCGTGTATTATTTGCCTATAGCTTTACGGAACAATTTATGAAAAATGAAATAAATTAAATGGGTAAAAAATATGATCACAAATAAAAGCGGAAAATTTTAAGATAAAAAATTCTGAAAAATGATACCAAATAGTTATCTGATTATGATATTGCTCATAATGGAAGGACAGTCGCAGATTGAAAATATTGCATTGGCGATTCAATGGAATTTTATGTTTTATATTTTTACAGAAACAATTTAAAAAAATTATGGAATAAAAAAAATGGAAAAAATGATTAATCTACCAAATTTAATCCTTTTAAATTCTTTTAAAGTAACTGCCGCTAAAATTTTTGTGCTAAGAAATTTATGTATTTGGCTGATCAATCTTTAAAAATAAAATTTTCGGCTTAATCTATGGATGTTCATAAGCGAATCCATTCTCGAGCATGATTTAAGGAAGAAAAAATTTTTTGAATTTTTAGGATTTTAATTTCTCAGAAAACGATTGGTCGGTTAAAAACATTGATAAGCAAAATTCTTTTTCTAGAAATTTGTTGTTCATTTGGTTTACTTCATCAGCTAAAGATAATGATTGATAAACTTCTGATAAATTTTAATTTCTGATTTGACAAAAACATCTGATAGAATTGCTTCAGTGGCAAATGAGCAAGAGCCATTTGCAATCACAGTGAACGTAATCAAGTCATCAGGGCCAATCAAAAATGTTCTTAATTTAGGGCTTATCACACATACTGCAGTATTTGTGATTATTCTCCCCCACTTAACCCCAACTTATTCGGTTAATATAGCCAGGGAATTGTGAGTTTTAGTCATTTAAATTGCCAATTTTGCCCCACATTCTAGTACAACTCGCCTTGGGTACTTCGGAAAGCGGATGGAGCGAGAAACTAACACGAATAAGACTCGACGATTCTCAATGCGCAACCTGGCAACTTAGGGAACTAATTAAAGGAGGAAATTCAAATTTATATATGCTTATTTAATTTATTTGTACTTAAATTTACGAAACCAACATGAAGACTGAAATAATTTTAATAAAATTAGAAAAGAATCTATTGCGGAACACAACTGAGGAAACGCTATGACCCATGTGGGTCCCTAAAAAAAACTAAAGGAACGTTGAGACCCACGTGGCTCTTTTAAAAAAACTGGGGCAGATCTGAAGTCCACGAGGTTCCTAAAAAAAAGCACCTCAACGAATTCCAGCTTTTTGCGTCTCAAACACGCTCGCCACCCTTCGCTACTGCAAATGCTCCGTCTAATCCTCGTATTCAATGTTTTTACCGATCTAAACGCATTGTATTATCGGCAATGTCGTACGAAGTTCGGCGGCTGCCGAGTTTTAAAATGTCGTACTTTATGCGTGAAATTTGGCGTTTTTTTTTTTCACCAATTTTTTTACTAAATTTTTTTCTTTTCTAATTATTGGTTATGGAAAAAATGAATTTCAAATTTATCGATGATTTGGTTTGCTTTTTCACAATTATTTTATTTTATAGAAATTTTTTAAATTTTTAATTTAATTCTAATTTTTCAATTTTTTTCAATGTTTATTTTTTTCAAAAATTTTCTTTTCGGTTTTTTCATAAAAAAATTTGCAGTCCGAGCAGTTAGAAACGGAAAGAAAAAATGAACGTTATTCATATTTTGCGGATGGTCGGCGACGCGTCGATTACGTTCTCGCTTATCACCTTATCGATAATGATTTTCGTGATGATTTGGACGATCAACGAGATAGTTGCGAGTTTAGCGAAGACGACGACGACATTCCTCATACTTATGTTATTTGTTTTTTCATTCATGAAACAAAAAAAGCTTTCTATTGTTTTTTATTTTAACTTATCAATAAATTTATAAGTTTTATTAAATTTTTGCTTTATTTTTATTACTATTTTTAATTTTCTACTTTTATTTATTTATTTTTATTCATTAATTTTATCTAAAATCAATGAATAATCTTAATCCAAAATATTTTTCAATTTCTCCTTTTGTGATTAATGGAATTCTTTTAAATAATTAATGAAATTTTTTAAATTTAGAATGGAATTTCTTGTTTAAAAAAAAAAAAATTGTGCATGCGTTATTTATTATTAAATTTGAAGGCATTTCTTGGAAATTTGACAAGAAAAGCGAAAAGGCGACGAATTTATGAAGAAAATCTTATTAGAAAAGGCCTTGAACTTGAACATATCAAAGGCAAAGTTTGTTTATCGTTTTTATTCCAATAAAATTTTCAATTTCAAATTCAACTAATTCAAAATTGAAATTTTATTTTTATAAGTTTTTTCTTAGAGCTTATTTTTCGTAATTTTTTTTTGTTTTGTTTCTTTTCAGTTTCTTAATAATCTAAAATCATTAATTTGATTAAATTTTTAGTATTGTAATAATATTGGATTTGTATTGGTTCATATTCCATTTGACTTATTATGTCGGCATGCAGAAAAAATGGGAATCGAATTGCGAGTTCGAACCGATTTAAGACCCGTATTTTTTAAATTTTTCATCATTTTCTAAGCATTGTTTTGAAATTCTCTTATTAATATTCAAAATTTTACCATCATTTATCATTTTCATCTAATGATTATCAATTATTTAAATCTTTGTTTATGATTATCTTTATTTTTTCTATTTTGATTTAATTTTTTTCTAATTAAATTTTTTTTTTTTAACTGCTCGTATTATCTCTAATTCAGCTGGCTTCTGCTCTTTTTTGTAGAAAATCGGATAGGGATAGATGTAGTTCTCGTTTCATTCGCATCTCACTTTCTAATTTCATCGAAGACTATAAACCGAATCATCTTGCTTGCTTTCAGCCAAAGCAACATTCTACTAGACAATTCTATGCTAATAATAGTTTTGCTATCTGCAGAGCCCATCTTTAGTCATCCATATTTTTCGCCTTTGCTATTTGCGAATAATGCCATTGCTTTTTTTCCTATTTACTTTATATTTTATAATGACCATTCAAATAATTAATAATTAATTTTATTTATGAATTTTAGAAAAGAAATGTCGAAGGCTCAATGTTCGATAAAATCTTGAATAAGTGTGGTTTATTTCATTTTGATAAACGAACTAACAAATTAATTGAAGAACCGAGAAATCAATATTATCCTTTCAATTATGATGATATGGAATGGTAGTTTTTTACTTTAAATTTTTCAATGCATATTTTCTATTTTTAAAGTTTGATGAAATATCTGGAAAGATCTATTCAGGAAATAGCGAATATTTATTTTGAAGATATTGTTCTAAATAATTTTCATAAATACAATAAATTTCAGCTTTGTTGGTTATAATAATCCAGAAAATTTCTTTTCAAGTGCGGATCGAATATTTGTTGTCTATGATATCCTCAGCCATACAAAATTCGGTCGAGATGGACGAGTTGGTATTGAATTAATGCTTCAAAAGGAAATTTACAATGCAGCATATCCTCTTCATGAGGTTAGAAGTTATTGTTATTCTCCTTTTTTTTTCTCTCTTTCAGCAGTATCCACCATTTTTACTCTGGTTTGTTTCATTTGCTAGTAAGGCAATGACTCTTTTGATAAATAGTCATTTATCCCCACTATCACGCAGATTTTACTTTTAATTACTTTTATTTATTTATTGAAGGTTAGTTAAGATTAATAAGATTCTATTATACCAAGTGAATAGTGATTCATCTTATCTCATTGAAAATAGCTCGACCGCTGCTTCCGATAAGAACAATTCTATCACTAAAAATTTCGGATGGCTCTGGCTTATTATTTACTACTTTAGTCGATGCAGTGTGTCACTTTTATTTCTTATTTGTAGTTAAAACGACTAATAAAGGACTAATGAGACTAATTTGGAATGGCAGATATTTCTGAAAATTTGCTTTTCTAGATTTGAGCATTAATTTGAGCATTAGCATTAATTAACTTCGTTATTTTTACTTGCTATAAAAATGTTTTCCAGTTTTTGGATTACGACAATCTCAGGTCAGGACTATGTAAAAAGGTATTTTTATCATTTTTGAATCTATTTTTCCATTTTCTTATAATAATTTTTATACTATTTGGAGTTTTTGAGGAAGTCGTTAAAGGAGTTGACGAGTTGTCGGGTAATAATACCAGACAATTGTTATATTGGCTTTGGGCAAAACTCAGATATTGCTACAAATTTCAGCCATTATTTTTAATTAAGTATGTTGTTATTTTTCTTTTCATGTTATTTTTTGAAGTTCATGTTAGTTTTTGCATAACTTAAAATTATAAATATTTATAAATTATAATTTATAATATAAATTAAAATTATAAGTAAATATAAATACTTTAAGTTGAAATAATTTCAGAGAATATTTTGGATCGAAATTGGCTATGTATTTTGTTTTAGTTGGTTATTACACTAAATTTTTGATTCCTTGTTCAATTATTGGTTTATTTTGTTTTATGTATGGCATATTTACTTTTAACACCGATATACCGAGGTAGATTTTGGAATTATTGATTCTATATAAATTTTTCAGTTTAATTTTAATATAAATGCAAATATACATTTTAGAATAAATTTTACAGTAATGAAATTTGCTCAGCAAATGGTGAATTACAAGAGATTTTAATGTGTCCCATTTGTGATCGTTGGTGTGATTATACAAAACTAAATTCAAGTTGCTTCTATTCGAAGGTTTTTTTCACATAAAAAATTGGTTTTTTTAACATATTTTCTTATATAGACTACTCCATTTTTATTTTAGTTATTATTCTATAATTATTTTAGAGCTCAAATCATAAATTTTCTGCTATTTTTAGTTCTTACTAGAAAAATTTCAAGACAGTTACTAAAGGTTATTTTTAGTTATCATACATTTCTGATAATATTTCAACTGTTATATTCGCAATTGTAATGAGCATTGGAGCGACTTTATTTGTTGAAGGATGGAAGCGATATAATTCAGATATTGCTTGGAGACTTGGGCTTTTGGATACTGGTTCACATGAGGTAAACTTTTCAGTTTAATCCTGCACATTGCACAATTATCAAAAATTGATTGTTCTTTCATTGATTGATTTGTGAATTCATTTTTGATAAAAATCGTTTATAAATAGGCTCAACAAAAAAACCATTCAGATTGCCTTTTGCCTTCAATTTTGCTTTAATATTTGCGTATGGAAAAGGTGGATTCATCGGAAGTTCATTGTTATCCCTATTTCAAGAAGTTTTTAGGAAGGTTTAAGACTTGCATATTTATTACAATCGCTTCGCGTAAGTAATGTTCGAGATCCACTGACGAGAAGGCGTGAACCAGTTCCTATACCATTATCAAAACGACTACCCAGAGCTTTTGCTTCTTTCATTACTGTCATATTTTTTGTTAGTATTTCATTTTTCCAATGGTAAATAAGATTTTTAGATATATTTTTTATGAAAATTTCAGTTTATGTTAATCTGGTTTATTAATTTTATTATTCTTTGTATATAGTTATGCTTGATTCTTGCTGCTGTAATTGGTACGATTATTTATCGAATTGTGCTTCTTCAAGTTTTATATAGGGTTCACAGTATAAGGCCATTTGCAATGCTATTCACTTCGTTAACTACTGCAACATTGAATCTCGTCGTTATACTTATTATGAGTTACGTATGTTATTTTTCTTTATTTTTAATTTAAAAACTTCATTGATCTGGTCGTATTTTATTTAATTCAACGAAAGTTTTTTAGTTTTATAGTTATTTGGCTTTGAAATTGACCGATTGGGAATATCCTCGTACGCAATCGGAGTTCGAAAAGAGTTATACCGTAAAAGTATTTTTGTTTCAATTAATAAATTGGTATTCATCTATATTCTATGTTGCTTTTTTTAAAGGAACGTAAGTATTTTAGTCACAATTTTTCGGCAATTTTTTCTCAGTTTTATCTAATTTTTTACATATTTGATTGCATTTTTATTTTTATTTATTTTTAGATTTTCTGGCTTGCCAGGTCGTCGTATTTTTGGATTACGCCCAGAAAATTGCGACCCATCAGGTTGTATGGTTGAACTCGTCATTTCTCTCGCGACTATCATGCTTGGAAAAACTTTATACAACAGTGCGATGGAATTTTTTAATCCGTTAGGGAGTTTTTCTCATTTTTTCTGAGAAAAAAGTGATGTGATAAGTTATAGCTTTTTTATTTGGATAAATAGAGTTCAAAAGCATTCATAAACCATAATAATTTAGATCATAATGATCATAATAATTTGTTTAGAGTGTTTCTTACAATATTTCGTGGATTTACTCTAAAAATTCCTGAATCAAGGAGCACCCGTATTGAAAAATTTCGTCGTGAAAAAAAGAAAGAAATGGATTCTATTTGTATCAGTGTACCAAGATGGGAATGGGATTATGCACTTACACCAATTTATGAGCAGTTTCTTTTCGACGAATATCTTGATATAGGTCTGTCACCATAGGTCTTTCTATAATTTATATTTTATTTTTTTTTATTTTTATTCTATATATTTCTTTTTTTTCAATGAATAGTTCGTTGATAGCGTTTCAGCTTTTTTAATATGTCTGAAATTTTTCTAAAAGTATTCGAATTTTAGCGATTCAATTTGGCTTTGTTACTTTGTTTGTTTCGGCTTTCCCTTTAGCTCCATTTTTTGCCCTAATAAATAATGTATTGGAATCGCGCTTAGATGCTTATAAATTTGTTGTTGCTATGCGCCGGCCTATACCGGAAAGGGCAAAAGATATTGGTATATGGTTGTCAATTATTGATGCCATTGGTAAAGCTGCCGTAATCACTAATGTAATATTTTTATTTTCTACAGTTTAATTTTTAATCACTGTTGGCTCAGTTCAGATCTGTTTCAATTAGAGGGATAGATTAGCCGTGTTGTTGCTGCTCAATCCCAAATATCAGAGTTCAGATCCTGCTTCTGGCAAAAATATGTTATCTGGTACTATCGAACCATTAGTGTTTCTGTTGTCAAATGGTTCGCTACCAAAAATTTCTCATCTAATAACAAATGGAGCGAGCCTAGTCAAAAATGGTCAACGGTAACCATTAATTAGCGAGAGCTGGATTTTTATATGCAACCAAAGTGAATTCGATAATTTTTGTTGATTTGTATATTTTTAGCTGACAAAATTTTGTGGTGCTTCGACTAAGTGTTAGCAAAGTTCATGGCTTTCCCTTGATAGAACTAAATCTAATTAAATTGAATTGAAATATGAATAAGTGCTAAGAATCAGTTCTATCAGAATCTACATTTCTATCCTCACATAACACGTTGAATAAGGGAAATGGTGAATGTTATTTAGGTAAGAGATTGGAAAAACACCTGGTTACTATCACGTGCCTTTAATATTGAATATTGTTTATTTTAAGGCTTTCGTTATTGCATTTACGAGTGATTTTATCCCTCGTTTGGTTCATATATATCGTTATTCAAATCTCGTAGGCTATATAAGTAGTAAGTTGTCAATATTCGAACCCAGCTCTTTGCATCCAGCAGAATGGAGTCAGTGGCATAATGTGACAAAGTGCTGGTAAATTTTATAATCATTTTGCGATGTTAGAATAGCCGAATGGTTGCTGCTCAGTTCATTTCTCGAATATGAAGATTTGGAATCTACTTCTGAGAGGAGGAAATCTTTTTATTTAAAATCTAGGTGTTATTGAGAACTAGTCTATATCTTCAGTTGATTTACGCGCATAAATTTCTTATCGTATTTAAATCCAGTGGAGGGGGCTTATCTGGTTTAGTAGGAAGCACTAACCAATTATTAACTTTATTTTTCACATTTTTATTTTATGGAAAATAAGATATTCCATGCAAATCTTATTTTGCAAATTTTTGAATATTTTTTACAGGTTCATAGATTATCGTAAACCTCCTTGTTCGTTATCCCCAAGAATAGGTTGTGATGATGCATATGGAGTGACAGATCTTTGGTGGACTGTACTTGCTTTTCGTCTTGGTTTTGTAGTTGTATTCGCGGTAATTATTTAAAAATTTTGCATATTTATTTTGAGTAATTCTTTAGAGTAATTCTTTATTTATTTATTTTTAGTAATTCTTTCAAAATATTTATGATTTTACTTCTGCTTATAATTTCTCCGTTTATTATTTCTTTCTGACTAAACAAAAGGTTAGGATATTTTCTTGATGAAGCACATTAATATGGAATTCATAATGCATTTGGGCGAATATCATCATGTTTCATGGAATTTGAGGTTTGCTCGTCTTTAATAGAATTGATTTTCCAGCATGTGGTTTTTATTATAAAAGCATTTATATCTTATATAATTCCTGACGTACCCTCCCGAATATTTATTCAACTCCAGCGTCAACGTTCATCATCTTTTGATTTTATGTCAACTGGTACTTATTAATTGAAAGATTGACTGAAAGAATTTACAACAAGTATTGCCTCATTCCCTGATCTTTGTTTGCTTTATGCCTTTTTCATTTTATTTTTATATTTTGTATAAATAACGTGTGTTTTAAATTTCGCTATATTTTTTTTTTATTTTGCCCAATTTTTCATAATTGTTCAGTGTCTTTCATTGATTTCTGCTGAAAGTATAGATATTCTGGAAAAAGAAAAATTGTCTCTAATTAGTTGCAAATATTGATAAATATTTATAATGATTATGGCTATTTCAAATTGGACCCAACAGGTGGGGGGTGCAGTTTAATTCATATTTATGATTTGTATGTACAGCTTATTGTTTTAATAAAATTAAGCCTTTTTTTGTTGTTTTTAGTTTTACTGCAAAATTGAAAATTAAATGCGGTTATTTTTTCATTATTATTAGTTTTACCTGGAGGACACAGAAAATGAATAGAAAATGCGTACGGTTTTGATTGTTTGATTATTTTGATCAAGAAATTCTGGTATTACAAAATACTGTTCTGGTATTTGATGTACAGTTGTGGATGATTCCGCAAATAATTTTTTAAAGACCAATCGAATGATTTAAAAATCTATCGCAAAATAAGTAATTTTTTTCTCTGTTTGACTACTGCTGGTTATATTTTTAATTGTCATTTTTTATTTTTCTTATACTACGGACGCTAGAATGGCTCGGTGGGACATCCTTTATTATTTATCGAATTGGAGATATCAATGAGAAATGGCGCAAAATTTGAACAATGATAGCCAGAAATGGTGCCAACTAACTAAGCTTCAAAACCGAATGTATCTTGTTTTTGAAGGATTTTTATCTTAGATTAATTAAATGTGATAAGTTTTAATGACAGGAAGAAGAAAAAGGAGAAATTAGAGAAATACCAGGGGCTAAGAGAAGCTAGAGAAAGTGTGAAAAATCGAAGTAATTCTACTGATAATTGGGAGCACATGGGACTGTTGACCCTTGAACTAGAAAACTTTCTTCAGAAATTCGAGAAACAATTTAAAAGATATCTGTCCAGAAGAGCGCACTATTAGGAAATAAAATGCTGCGTGGAACCCTCAATCTCGCAGGTCTCTGGCAGAGGACGCGAAGTTGAGGATGGTCAGGACCACCCACAGGTGTTGAGAAAAATTCTTATATTTATAAAAAATTTTCTACGTGTGGAGTGGAAAAAACGTTTCGGATACAAAATGCCAATTTACGTTGGCAGTTAAGTCTATTATATGAGCGTCAATTTATGTTATTTGATTTCAGTTTATTCCAGTTTTCTTCTTCGTCTTCAGATGAATGATTTTGTCAATAATAACATTTATAAAATATATATAATAAAACGGTAAAATTTGAAAAGAAATATACATGAAGACAACGAATTTGTTCACTCTCAATGCAATCGTTTGCCCAAAAAAAGACAACGAAGATCGTTAGGCAAACTAAAATTTATAGGTAAACATAACAGGTGAAATATATATATATATAATAATAATAATATATTTTATGTCAACATCTTCACAAGATTGCCTGTTAAATAATCTCCTATTATCTTCTAAAAGAGAGGGCTCACTTAAATTTATTTGTATTCTTCAGCTTTAATTTGTTAAGATTACGATGGACGGTACTTTATCGTCTTTTATCTTCTGAGTATTATCTCTTCACAACTGGTTTTTTTTTAGCACCTCGGTTAAGTCGAGAACAACGAATCAACCAAAGCGAGATGGTGATCAAATAAGATAAACTTGCCTGAAGACTACAATACTACAATACTAACATTGTTTTTTGGGAACTTCAATGGGAACAACTATTATCCCTTTTAAGCATTTAAAGGCATTCGCCGAAGGGCACCCAAAGGCATTCGAGCATACAAATAAAGAAGTTCAAGAACTTGAAGGCCTTAAAAGGAAATATGTAAATATCTTGAAATAAAGTACCAGCAAGAAAATAAATTCAGATTTATCGAATTTCGCACTTATTATATGACACTCTTGTAGCCTTATCCACTCATTAACTCAGCGGGAATTCAACAATGCCATATTTCAATTCATCGTTATTTTAATATCATAGTCAAGTGCTTAATGTTTGTATTAATTTTTTGATACATTTAAATATTCTTATTTGTTTTTTTGTGAGATTAAATACTACAAAAAATATTAAAAATTTTTATTTAAAATGATAACAATTTGATTAAAAGTTGAGTTGACTAATAGAATTCGTCGCTACTAAATTCAAAAAATTCAATGGAAAATTTAAAGGTTTTTCGAAATAAATTACGAAAAAAAAAAATCGCAATACTTTTGGTCAAATTTCGATCCTCAAACTATCTGTTTTTTTTGGTTTTTGCACAAAAATTTTTTCGATCTTAAAATTATGAATTAACGAGCGCAATTATTTATATTTGGCTTGAAGGTGATGAAGCATTTTTAAGAATGTAGGAATTGTGCATATTTTTTTTTTAGCGCTTATCATTTCTGATTATTTTCGCTATTTGTTAGGATGGATAGAAATTTTCGCCGAAGAATCGCTTGGCGACAAGAATATAAATATGCCACTCCAGCCTTTTTTTTTTAGTGCAAGTAAGAAGCAACAGCCTCGCTCGTTCCTCTTAATCTCAGCCATTAGCCATTCATCTGTCTCCCTGCTTATTTATATAATATATATTTAAGTCATTTTTGCGTTAAAAATATTCGAATAATATAGTTATTCACTAATAATTAACTAGTAAATATTTAAAAAATTTATTAATTCAATCGCATATATCGAATAATTTTTATATTTTATGGTTTTTTTCGAAGAACTGAGGAGCGAAAAGAAAAAAAATAATTGAGAAATTTCTAAATAAAATGGAGATAACTGAAAATTAAAACGAAATATTTAATTAAATAGGTAGTTAATAGTTCGTAACGATAGTCAATGAATATTTGATGTCTATCGTTGAATGACATTTTTAAGATTTTCATTTTATTTATTAATATTTAATTTTCTTTATCGAATATTATTTTGTTATTAAATTTGATTAAAATATTGTTATATATATATATAATTTTTTAACATTATTATTTTTAAAATTGAAATATTTTTATAGAATTTTCCATAATTTATTAAATTTTAATTTTATTTTAATATTTTAATTAATTTAAACTTTAACGTTTTAATATTTTAATTGTATTACTATCTTTTCAATTCAATTTTTAATGTTTTAGCTATATTTTTTAATTTTAAATTCTTCAATTTTTTTTATTTCTTAATTTTCAATTTCAATATTTCATGAAATTTTTCCCTTTAGTAAATTTACTATGCTTATTTTATATTTTGCTTCGATTAAATACAAACCAAAAACACAAAACACAATTATTATTATGGCTTTGAGCTCTTCAAATGCATGGATCATTGAGTCAAAGCAAGTAAGTATCATGCGGGTCGTTTATTCTCTATTATCAGTTTTTTTTGAGTCAAACTAAAGAATGCGCGTTACGAGAGACTAATTATTTACAAAAGCACTTAACGTAAAGATCAATGTCGATCAAAACTATGGACAAATCACTAAAATATAAATCCTTTATAATAACTATAAATTATAAATCAATTTTAAGTTGCTAATTATTATTTATAAAATGCATTTGTTTTCCGTATAAATCCACAAAACAGTTATTTTACATTTATAATTACAATTTTTGCAAGAATTAATAAAAGAATATAAAAGGAAAATTTTGTTTTCTTTTTTTCCTAGCATCGCGCACTAACACTGGTTGGTTCCACTAATTACCAGGTTAAGGCATTCCAATCTCTGCACTCATTGTAGTAGGAGAAATTAATTTATAATTGTGGAAAAAAATTAGAATTTTTAATTTTTAAAATACTTTTTTCTATGATTACCTACAAATTTAAGTTTACTTTAATAGCTTTTAAAAACTAATAATTCGGAATAATTTTAATTTTTTTTTCCATTCGAATACAAAAATTTTCTTACCATAAATTCTGATAAAGTAATTTTAAAATATTAAAAATCAAAAGGAATAATGTAATATGATAAAATGATTCGGTCGGACAATTGTTATGAAAATCAACTGCATTAAATAGTAAATATTTTTATTATCTCAGCGTTTCCTTATCGCCATTTTAGTTATATTTACTGAAAAAACAATTGTATATATAAATTAATATTGAAGATTTGCCGAAGTTATTTTATTAAATATTTGATATATTTTTAAAACTATTTATTGAATTTATCTCTTTAAAAATTTTCAAATTATTAAAGATCTGGCAAATATTAAAAATTAAATTGCTATTTCATAGCTTTGAAATGAGATTTATGAATTAAATAAACTTTTTTAAAAAATTCATACTCCAAGTTTAAATTTTAAATATGCAGTATGGTATGCGAATGTATTTCATGAAATATGAAAGACGGTCAGGTCGCGAGACTTTTTAACTTATAATAATTAATGATTTTCAAACAAATTTTAGAGACTTAAAAATTATTTATTTAAAGTAATAAGCCAAATATTTACTACAAATTTTGTAAATTTGGCGACATTTTATTTACTATAAAGGAAATTTTCATTGTTGTCGTTTATCGCTCATTCATTTTCTATATAATTTTTTTATTTTTCATTCAGCCTAATTACATGAATAATAATGAATGATTGTTTAAATGATGAAAGAATATTATAATTATGAGAAAAAATAGATAACAGAAGATTGAATTCGCCACCACTGACATCCATTATTACATTAAAATCAAGAGAATGAATAAAACCTAGAAAGGGAAGAAGAAGCCATTCAGCTTAATTTTCTTTTCTTTTTTTCTAACATTTGGATTTTGGATTTTATTAGTCCAAGTGATAGTTCGAAATGACAGACTTGAATGAGCGTTTCGCCATGTAGTCACTTAGAAATAGAAACGACACAAGTGGATCCTCAGCATCGAATCGAATTTCGCTTTCAATGACAATTTGCTACAATCTACGAATAAAAAATTTAGA